TCTACATTCTTGACCAATATTGACCGTATATATATATATAACTATATAGAGATACATGACTATAATTGTTTCTTTGTTTTTCCCCACCTGCCAGGTGAGGGTTGTTAGATTTTATGTCAGTTGCCTCCTCCTGCCTCGTCCTCCTCCTCCTCCTCTCCTCCTCGTCCTCCTCGTCCTCCTTGTCATCCTTGTCGTCCTTGTCGTCCTCGTCGTCCTCGTCGTCCTCGTCGTCCTCGTCCAACTGCGACCCGCGATCCACAGTGTTCTCTGCCGGACCTCAACCACGACCAGCCACGCCCAGTTTTCCCTGCCGGACCTCAACCACGACCAGCCACGCCCAGTGTTCCCTGCCGGACCTCAACCACGACCAGCCACGCCCAGTGTTCCCTGCCGGACCTCATCTGCGAGTATCCATGCCAAGTGTTCCCTGCCGGACCTCATGTAGGAAGATATGGGACAAAGAATGTGCAGAAGAAAGTTAGAAAGAATGTCAGAAAGAATGTCAGAAGATATACCAGAAGATATGCCAGATAGAATGCCAAATAGAATGCCAGAAGATATGCCAGAAGATATGCCAGAAGATATGCCAGAAGATATGTCAGAATATATGCCAGAAGATATGTCAGATAGAATGCCAGAAGATATGTCAGAATATATGCCAGAAGATATGCCAGATAGAATGCCAGAAGATATGTCAGATAGAGTGCCAGAAGATATGCCAGATAGAATGGCAGAAGATTTGCCAGATAGAATGCCAGAAGATATGCCAGAAGATATGCCAGATCATATGCCAGAAGATATGCCAGATAGAATGCCAAATAGAATGTCAGAAGATATGTCAGATAGAATGCCAGAAGATTTGCCAGTAAGAAAATGTATAAATGTCATGGTGGGGATCACACGAAGTAAAGTATTTTTTTTTAAATATATATATATATATATATTGATGGTGTACATATGTAGACACACACGCACACACACACATATATATATATATATGCACATATTCATTTTTATTTGATATGCATACACTTATACACGTCCATTTGCACGTAGAGTAAAGCTTCTGCCTTGGTGAAACCTCGCTTTGAGAAGGTGCAGCCGCCCGGCAGGTCGTTCTACGTCACGTCTTCCTCGATCAAGACTACGTTCTGCCAAATCCGGCCATCAAGACAGGCAGCATACCCAACATAGCCATGGAAGCCATGGCCCATAGAAATAGATGGTTTACCGTTCTTAAACATGGTGATTTTCCATGGCAAACTGTTAGTCATAACCAGACTGTATAGGTTTTGAAAATTTTAAAGCAACTGGTGCCAAACTGACTTCCCTATGTTATTTTAGAAGGACATTATTGGTCAGCACAGCTGAATGTCGTGGTGTCTCCATGAGTCAGCAACACAATGAGGGGGAAGGAATAGTGGCGTGCTTTCACTGTGCTATCGTGGTGTCCATCATTAAATACGCAGAGATCAGTTGGACATGTTTTCCTCGCAAGGAAGTGAAAGTGCACGACAAGTTATATACTTTATAAATATCCCCGAGGTGCTGTTTCCAACCCTTTATTGGTTGTTGGTCGCCCGGGAAACGTTCACTTCAGATCAATTTGAGCAGTACAGTAACTTTGGCGAAACCAATCATCCAGCGGCCACCGCACAAGACTGCAAGAGGAGCCCATCAGTAAAGAATCAGTTCCTACCCCCAGTTTGGTTGGCGAACGTTCTCAGGTTGCCAAAAATCTCAGATGGGTTGGTTTACCCCATGTGCCTGGTTATTTCCCATTTAAGGAGCATTATCCCAATAACTATTCATCGCAACATTTCAGTTGCAAATATTTCTTGCATTTCTTTGGGGGGAGGTTATGGGGGTTATTTATGTTGTCCCAAATTTGGTTGAAAAGCAATGTTGCAGGAACCGACTGTATATATTTACTGGTAAGGAGCAGTCCAAGTAGAGTTGTCCTTACACCAAACTTCAGTTGAATGTTTATATATATATACATACACGTTATAATATTATATATATATACTATATATATAATCCCATTCATATCCCATTGACCTCCCATTGGTCGTTGATGCTTCTTATCGGGTTGCTAAAGTTGCTCATCTCTACAGGCGCTGCTCGCACCCGGCATCCTGTTTTGGACACGTTTGGCGACGTGTCACACCGCTGGGTCCTGCGCCAACTGCGCAAGCTACGCGACGCGCAACGTACGCTGGGCGCCATTGGTGTGGATGGGTTGCGGGAATAGATAGATCTCCCTGAGACACCAACCTGCTGAGGATGATATTTAAAGACCAATAAAGCATGGTTTTGGGCTGTGCTGGAACCCCCTATCAGAATATTGCTAGATATTGCTAGGAATTGGATCCCTATAATTATATATATATATACTGATCAGCTATTGTTTGCAAGGTATCCAAGAGTGGCCAAGAACTGCCAAGAGTGATTTTACCCATCACGATGATCTTCCAGATGGGGATTCGGATTTTAAAAGGCGACTAGTGACTAGCAAAATTAATTTGATTTTTGTTGTATGTGCATATGCAGTCAACATTTATCACCATAGTAACACAACACGTGCTTTCTGGATTTATCTGAGATATTAATATTGGTGGTGACTGGCCATGAATGTAGAAACAGCATGAAACAGCCACGCAAGCTGCGGCCATTCCCGCCGCAGGCGGTTCGCCAGCAATCGTGGATGACTGCTACTTGACCAGAATCTTGTGGGGTACCGTGTGCGGAAAAGAACATCTAGAAACAGCTCCACTTGCATTGATGGTTTCTCTTGAGCAATCTTCAGCAACAGAGGTTTCCTATGAACCATTTTCATGGATGAAGCTTTTGTTTGAGCCATTCAGGCGAAGTCGGCTACTTATGCACCCAGACCCCCCATGTCGCCCAACATCATTCCGGATGAAGCGACATTATCAGGAACATATAGACTCTCACCCTGGTTAGACTTCTCATTCAACTGGGAAGATCAAGAGGAGTTGCAGATAATAGAACCATTTTAGGGTTTTGAGTTTAGGGATGTTTAGGGTGTTGACCAACCATTTTGGGGGTTGGGGTTTACGGGGTTGATGATGTTGATGATTCTGGTTTAAGATGTTAGATGATACCGGTGATATAACTCACCTGCGCTGCACCCTGCCACCACAGCCAGGTTACAATGTATGCTCTCTCGGAATCATCGACCCTGCCGTGTTGATACCGTTCGAAGCGGAGGACGAAGATGACATTTTACCAAATCTCTGCAAAGCACGTGGCTGGGCACATGGATACGTTGAAGGTGAAGCATTTATGGCAACCTTACTGTTTGATCGTAGATCATGGTTGCTGTTTGAGAAATCGTCTCCAAAATGAAGCTTTGTGCATTGTAGGAATTTGCCCAGATAGAGTCAGATAGAGGTCCTATGAAGTCCTTTACCTTTTTAAGCGTAGAACAATATCAATATCAACATGTTTTTTTTGGCCAAACACATCACATCTGGTTCAAAACGATATCAACATGTGTATCTTACAAGGTGTACTGGTTAGTGCTTTCAAAATGTTTCAAACATTTTTAATTTTCCATAGTATATGGGATGTCATCCTTCCCATTGACGAACTCATATTTTTCAAGATGGTTAAAACCACCAACCAGTGTACAATATTGTACAAAATAACATGGCTCCAAGCGCCCACGTTGTGGATCAAGGTCCAATGATGGATTTTTTGAAGCGTTGGATCGCTGGAGCGCCCCTACCCTCAGGCTCCATCTAACTCAATGTGTAATTCAATGTGAAGGAAAATTCCCAATTTACCTCATAATTTTGACATGGATGTTCCTGCTAGTTGCTGCTGAACATATGATAAAATATGAATATAGTTATCAATGGTCTTATCACCAAGGTTGACCTTTCAGATGGTGGTTAATATCGATTTTGCTCAATCCACACGATTGATCGTAATTTACTTACCTTCATTGAAGGTTAGGAACCATGTGCGAAGGCAGTCCCAAATTGGCACTCAGGAAGCGAGTTGCGTGGCCATCCGCGGACCATTTGGCGAGACCATAAAGACAGGTGAGTGGGACACGCGGATTCTGGAATTTCAAACAGCCCATGGACCATTGAGCTTAGCATCAGGTTCCACTCATGGGTGGTATTTCCCGAACCACTGGTTGGGTTTGGCCTGGCTTAGAATCATTTACGTGGCCTCCAAAATAAGAAAGATTGCCTTGCAATAAAAGTGTTGGATTCTGTGGGCTGCGGCTGGCTCTCCTATAGTTCAAGCTCAAGGTAGTTCCATGCTATATGATGCTATATGTCCTCTTATAGTGCAATCAATCGGGTAACCTCAGACATGGATCAATTGATTCTGAAAAATAAAACCCAAATAACGTCTCATTTTTGCCGCGCTTGCCAAACCTGCAAAAGTCTGGGTTCACACAGTTTAACATATTTTAACATATTACTCATACTACATTATATATCAGAATCACCATGAAAAACACCAAGGAAAAACACATCGTTCCAGCCATTCCGGATGGGTATGGGATCCACACGTCCCTTGGCCCTTGGATATCCGTGTCTCCATTGCGGTGCAGCCGGTGAAGCAGAGATGGTACGTGCCAACCGGCATTTTTTCAGCAGTCGGAACTGTGTGAAGACTGGGAACATACGTAACAAGTCGCAGGAACCACTGAATCCCCAAGAGGATTTCACTACCTGGCATGAATGACTCAGGGCATGGGTCGATGGAAACATTCATGGAAAACAATAGCAATAGGTAAATAAGTTTCCAGACCATTGTTCGGGTTCCATGCTGAATTTAGAATTCAGAACGTGTTTTCATCAGCTAGCCTAAGCAAAACAATTGAACTATATTGAAAGTGGACTCCCACTGGGGCGTCAGACAATCCCTTTGAATCACGTTGAATCTTACCCCTTGGCAACTTATGCATCAGAGACTTCAGTTCCACTCATATTTTCAATGGATTGGTTTAAGGGAAAATCTTCACCGGAAACCATCGATTTTCCCATTAAATATGTTCAAATATGGGGCTTTCCTGTAAATTTTCCCTTAAACTAATCCATCGATATTTGCAACATTTTGCAACTGAATTTGACCGCCCCGAGTAGATGCCATCCCAGTCTCTATACATAGCGCTACATTGATTCGACGCTCTGAAACGGTGAGAAGTCAAGAGAACTTCAAGCCAAAGTTGCCATGGGATGATGATCCAAGGAGCTATTCAGAAGTAATTCTGGATATTCACATAGCCATGGAAAATGACCCATTTATAGATGGTTTACCTATTGAAAATGGTGATTTTCCATGGCTATGTTAAATAACCAGATGGTAATTCCGGATATTCATGGATATTCCTGTTTTGAATGATTGGGGCACCAATCGGATGTGTGAAAAATATCTTTCTGAGAGATCCAAAATTGGAGGTCACTAATGTGTTACGCTCACATTCCATGGGCTTCCCCCGCTTTTTCACGGAGCGGAAGTGATTGGATAGCCAATTCGCCAACTAGTCCAAGGGAAGATAATTACTCTCTAGGGAACAAACGTATCCACTTTTTTTGTGGAAAATATATTTTTTTGGATACGTTAGCTGCTGTGAACATAGGCTATGATAAATGCCCTATACTTGAGACATGTTAGTTGAAAATCCAGAATGGACATGTTAGTGGAAAAGTTGTTCCCCCCTCTGGGGGTTCCCGGGAAACTGCCAGAAGACTACCGCCCCGGACGCCCCAGCATCTTTATTTCCAGACCCCAATAGGGCTCAAATCAAAGACCGCATTGATAACAAAACGGTGGAGAAAAAAGGGGTCCCAACTCCTTCCGGAAGAGCGCATCATAGATGATGCCCGTGGGTGGGCAGGAAGATTGGGGGTGTCCAAAAACCAGTTGCATTTACTAAGGGTTACTGGCCATGGAAAACGTCCACCTAACGTGTCCGTGTTGTTCAGAGGATGTGATTTTGAGATAAGTGAGTGGTTATTGGCTGAATCTATCCCCCCAAAATAGCGAACATATCCCAGATCAGGGTCGAAATCCAAGGGCCCCAATTGCAGGAACTGAGACATGTTAGCTGTTTTTGGGTCAATGGTCCCCAAAAAAGTTGCAATGCATTCCCCAGGAAATCCAGGAAAACGCCGGTACAGAGTGGACATGTTAGTTGATACCTGAAACGGTAGCCCGAGACACGTATCCACTTTTTTGTGGAAAAAAGTTTTTTTGGATACGTTAGCTGCTGTGAACATAGGCTATGATAAATGCCCTATACTAGAGACATGTTAGTTGAAAATCCAGAATGGACATGTTAGTGGAAAAGTTGTTCCCCCCTCTGGGGGTTCCCGGGAAACTGCCAGAAGACTACCGCCCCGGACGCCCCAGCATCTTTATTTCCAGACCCCAATAGGGCTCAAATCAAAGACTGCATTGATAACAAAACGGTGGAGAAAAAAGGGGTCCCAACTCCTTCCGGAAGAGCGCATCATAGATGATGCCCGTGGGTGGGCAGGAAGATTGGGGGTGCATTCCAAAAACCAGTTGCATTTACTAAGGGTTGGATGACTGGCCATGGAAAGCGTCCACCTAACGTGTCCGTGTTGTTCAGAGGATGTGGTTTTGAAATATGTGAGTGGTTATTGGCTGAATCTATCCCCCCAAAATAGCGAACATATCCCAGATCAGGGTCGAAATCCAAGGGCCCCAATTGCAGGAACTGAGACATGTTAGCTGTTTTTGGGTCAATGGCCCCAAAAAGGTGCAATACATTCCCCAGGAAATCCAAGAAAACGCCGGTACAGAGTGGACATGTTAGTTGATACCTGAAACGGTAGCCCGAGACACGTATCCACTTTTTTTTGGTGTTTTTTTGGATACGTTAGCTGCTGTGAACATAGGCTATGATAAATGCCCTATACTAGAGACATGTTAGTTGAAAGTCCAGAATGGACATGTTAGTGGAAAAGTTGTCACCCCCTCTGGGGGTTCCCGGGAAACTGCCAGAAGACTACCGCCCCGGACGCCCCAGCATCTTTATTTCCAGACCCCAATAGGGCTCAAATCAAAGACTGCATTGATATCAAAACGGTGGAGAAAAAAGGGGTCCCAACTCCTTCCGGAAGAGCGCATCATAGATGATGCTCGGAGGTGGGCAGGAAGATTGGGGGTGCATTCCAAAAACAAGTTGCATTTACTACTCTCGTGAAATCTTACCTGTTGAAAGTTTTTTTTTATTTTTTATTTTTTTTGCTATGTTAGTGTTTGGGTTTTGGGGCTGAGATTCAACTAACTTGGCGTTGGGAACGCATGGTGTGACATGGGCATTTTGGTGCTAACTTGGCGCGTGTGAAGCATCAAGTAGGTTCAATCGGGAACTGCTTTGTTAGCGTTCGTTTGTGCGCGCGTTCATCAGCCTTTCCACCAATATATGGTTCCAAAAGCATTTAATCGTACTTCATAGTAGCAAGTAGCGAGATTGGCAACATCGACCAGGAGTTTTTTCATTAATTATTCAATCTATTATATAAACTTGTTGCTTTTGAAGCTTTTTTGGGTCCAGTAAGGGTGATGATTATGATGTACTATTGGAGGTTTTGGGAACCCTGCGCAAATGCTATGTTAGTAGTCCTGTTGCCAAAGCTTTGGTTTTGGATTGAAAATCGTGACTGGCACAAGTGTTTTTGGATGTCTTCCTGGGGCTCACCCTTACTGGGCCCAAAAAAGCTTCAAAATCAACAATTTTATATAATCGATTGAATAAGGAAAAAAACTCCTGGTCGATGTTGCCAATCTGGCTACTTGCTGCCATGATGATTACGATGTACTATTGGAAGTTTGGGAACCCTGCGCAAATGCTATGTTAGTAGTCGCCTTGGGCTCACAACCTTTCCGCCAACGCGCGCGCGCGCGTTAGCGGAAAACAACTCGGCCAGGCCCGAGGACTTCGACCCCAAAACGGGGAAGACACACCTAACCTAGCAACCAGGGGTACTTTCATTCTAGATTGATTGATTGATGTGTTCGGTTTCCTGTTTTCTAAAACATGTTTTCCGTGGAGTTTGATGCTAACATAGCACTTTCCATTTGGTGGTTCCAAGCTGTGACAAGTCTCCAGACAGCTATGTTAGCTTATTCTGGTACATTTCTTTTACCCACTTCCTGGGGAATGCCAAACATTGGGAGGACGGAAACAGAGGCTATGTTAGCAGGTGTTGGCAGAAATCACCCAAATGATCACTTTCTCCAAATCCCCAGGGTTGACAACGTAGCCAGATGCTATGTTTGTGAGTTGGTGCCAGGGCTAAAAAAACGCTATGTTAGATTTCACCGGTGTAAGGGTTAGATGACTGGCCATGGAAAGCGTCCACTTAACGTGTCCGTGTTGTTCAGAGGATGTGGTTTTGAGATATGTGAGTGGTTATTGGCTGATCTATCCCCCAAAAATAGCTAACATATCCCAGATCAGGGTCGAAATCCAAGGGCCCCAAATGCAACTGGTTTTTGGAACCCCACATTGAAAATGCCAATTTTCAGTAGCTTGAGATATTGGAATCTCTTCGGGGAATGACTGCACTTACAAGACCCAATTTTTGTCAAAACACTGTTGTTTTCCCTGAACCCCAAAGTCATGGCCAGCATCCGAGATGAAGTGGCACAGGTGCTGCTCATTTGTTGTTCATTGTTTCCGAATTCCAACTTGCTAACATGTCCCAGTTTGGTACGAAAGAGCACGCACTGCACTTCCAATCCTTATTTCCAGACCGCATTGATAGCAAAACGAGCAGAAAAAAGAGCCCCAACTCCTCGGAAGAGCGCGTCATATATGAAGATTGGGGGTGTGTTCCAGAAACCAGTTGCATTTACTAAGGGTTACTGGCCATGGAAAACGTCCACCTAACGTGTCCGTGTTGTTCAGAGGATGTGATTTTGAGATATGTGAGTGGTTATTGGCTGAATCTATCCCCCAAAAATAGCTAACATATCCCAGATCAGGGTCGAAATCCAAGGGCCCCAATTGCAGGAACTGAGACATGTTAGCTGTTTTTGGGTCAATGTGTAAAAAGAAAGTTGCAATGCATTCCCCAGGAAAACGCCGGTATAGAGTGGACATGTTAGTTGATACCTGAAACGGTAGCCTGAGACACGTTTGTTCCCGGGAGTGTATCTCATGGATATATTTTTTGTGATTGGATACCATGGATACTAATGTTTGGCAAGAACCTCTAATTAGATGAGCCTCTATAGGGATTGAAGAAAGAATCTAGGGACATCGACCATGAACGCCAACTTTTTTGACGCGATCAATCCCTAAGTTGGACGACCTTCGCAACGGCAGATTGAGCCGACATGGAACATGATAGCATATGATAGCATATGGAAGCCATTTTCGGCTCAACGATCTGGAAGATGGTTCAGTTGGGGATTGCCATTGGGTTTCCATCTGAACAAAAATCGGTGCAGATCGGACCTCCAGCATAGCAAATTCATGCTGCAACGATAAGTCACGCCACAAGGCGTGCTGTGGCATGGGAAAGAAAAACATGAGAAAATCGTGAAGATGCGTTTGCCACGCGATTCCGTTTGTAAGTGGTCTAGTTGGTCTAGTCCTAAAACTCAATGACAATCAACTTGTCGGGTATATCATAGAACACCACTAGTATACGATGGTATACCGGCAATTTACCAGAGCTATATGAAAAATCACCATGAAGTGTCACCATGTTTAATAGGTAAATACGGTGGATGGTTGCGAAATATTTGCACCAGTTGATAGGTGGTTTATCCCATTATTCCCCACCTGCCAGGTGAGGGTTGTTAGATTTTATGTCAGTTGCCTCCTCCTCCTGCCGCCTCCTGCCTCCTGCCTCCTCCTCGTCCTCCTTGTCGTCCTTGTCGTCCTCGTCGTCCTCGTCGTCCTCGTCGTCCTCGTCCAACTGCGACCCGCGATCCACAGTGTTCTCTGCCGGACCTCAACCACGACCAGCCACGCCCAGTGTTCCCTGCCGGACCTCAACCACGACCATCCACGCCCAGTGTTCCCTGCCGGGCCTCAACCGCGAGTATCCACGCCAAGTGTTCCCTGCCGGACCTCATGTAGGAAGATAAAATGTCAGATAGAGTGCCAGAAGATTTGCCAGGTAGAATGCCAGAAAATATGCCAGAAGATATTCCAGAAGATATGCCAGATAGAATGCCAAATAGAATGCCAGATAGAATGCCAGAAAATATGTCAGAATATATGCCAGAAGATATGCCAGATAGAATGCCAGATAATATGCCAGAAGATATGCCAGATAGAATGCCAGATAGAATGCCAGAAGATTTGCCAGATAGAATGCCAGAAAATATGCCAGAAAATATGCCAGATAGATATGCCAGAAGATATGTCAGAATATATGCCAGATAGAATGCCAGATAGAATGCCAGAAGATATGTCAGAATATATGCCAGAAGATATGCCAGATAGAATGCCAGATAGAATGCCAGAAGATATGTCAGAATATATGCCAGAAGATATGCCAGATAGAATGCCAGAAGATCTGTCAGATAGAATGCCAGAAGATATGTTAGATAGAATGCCAGAAGATATGCCAGATAGAAGGCCAGAAGATTTGCCAGATAGAATTGCAGAAGATATGCCAGAAGATATGCCAGAACATATGCCAGAAGATATGCCAGATAGAATGCCAAATAGAATGTCAGAAGATATGTCAGATAGAATGCCAGAAGATTTGCCAGTAAGAAAATGTATAAATGTCATGGTGGGGATCACACGAAGTAAAGTAATTTATATGTATAGGCTTTCAACCATCCAGGGTGATGCAGGATTTCGCAACCATCCACAGCTATGCCTGAAATCATGGTGAACAGGCCCAGTTGATCCCGGGAATGTCCGAGGTGTAACCTGAACCCCAAGCTGGCCAAGGCCGGCTCCGATGGCTGGGGGCCCCCTAGTCATAAATTGGTTTATAAACCCAATTTGATTTGTAGTGTAGGAATAAGATAAACCATAGTTATATATAGGAGTTATTAACCAACTTAGCTATCTAGGGGGCCCCACTTTGTGTGTATATATATATATGATGAAGATATGATGTGATATGATGTACCCTTTTTGTTTTCTCAAACATGAACAACATGGACATTTCCACCACTAGATGATTTTCCATGAGAAGCTCCATTTAGTTTGGGGATTTCCCATTGCCATGTTTGATTACCGGAGAGTATATCACGTATTGAATTGCATACCCACTTAGGGCCTGTGCATCCATGATGGAAGCAATCCTGCACCGGTTGATAGGAGCTTTATCCCGTTCCAACACCATGATGTGGAGTGTTTCATAGGAATGCCAAGGTCGTTCCCCTGCCTGGGCCAGGCCAGAGTCGCTGCCCTGCAGATTGCTGGAGAGCACCTGGGCGAAGTTTCGTCTTCCCATGGCCCAATTTGGCAGGGTAGAGACGTGTGTGGTGGGGGGGTAGCTACTAACTGCTAGTACAGTGTGGAACTGTTTTTTTCAGGAAATTTGATGAAATTCAAGGTGTCAGGTTTCACTTAACTTGAGTTCTTCGAAGTAGGGGAAAGATAGGACAGCCATCAGACCCCGCTCCAATAAAATGCAATTACCACAGTTCTACATGCTTCTTGCTCAACTGTTTTTTCTTCTCCATGCAGCGTACTCTGGAACCGGAACTGGCAACGCTTGTGGCCAGGCTGTGTAGAATATAAATTGTTGAATGACTTGTTTGTTTAGTGGCAATGGGACAAAGGGTAAATACTGTAGATCAGATTTGGTTTGATCAGATAGATTGATAGACCAACAGACGGATGGATAGATATAGATGAATTATAGAATTATAGATAGAGATTTTGCAGATGCTGATGGAGAACCAATATATATATATACACACATACATACGATCGTATACGCTATATATCTGGCTGAACTATACCTCAGGACGTGACTGTAGACGCAAACTGACCGGGCCTTCAGGGAGATCCCAAAAGAGTTGATGGAGGCTGCCAACCAGACGGGAAAGGTCCAGGAGGCTGGGCTGGGGACTGGGCCGTATTGGCATTTTTTTAGTGGGGAAGCAACGAATCTAACTGAGGTATGACAACCTACATAAATAGTGTTATATTGTTATATATGATATATATATATAATAGTATATTTATTTAATTCAATGTAATATAATCATAATATATAGAGAACACACATATATGCATATATATATATGCGTGCGTGGATGGATGGATATTGCTTATTGTTTTCGCTAATCACGAATCTCACTGGGGTTTATGCAAACATAAAACCTATTTATCCCAGTACTTGCCATTTGGGGGTACCCCATGTGAGGACACGTCCAGAACATCATATGGTTGGTGACTGTTGGTTATATACATCTATTACATCCGCATTCTATCCCCATATGATGGTTGGGTTCCACCATTTTTGTTGGTGAATTCCATCACTCAGGGATTTCTGTCAGGAGGCACCAGTGGTCTGGGAAGGTCGCGGCGAGCAGTCCAGCCCGCTGAACCAGAAGGAAAGCCCAGTCCAGCCCAAGGTGCCAACGGTGACATGGTATCTGAATGGATGTGATTTTTATTGACGAACTGTGACGCACTGTCACACTGTGATACTGGGACAAAGATGTCAAAATCCATGATCATCCGTAAATCTTACACAATCTTTTGTGAATTATTATTATTATTATTATTATGGGATTTATGGGCACATGGAAAATTTCACAGACAAAGCCCATTTGGATCCATTTGGTGGGTTTACGGTTTACTCGCTAGTGATGCGCATCCTTAAATGGCGAAGTGGTGTCGAGAATACGACTGAGATTGAGATCCAACTTGGCACCCACAAGGAGGCCCAAGCAACTCGTGTTGCATGGAGGGAACGGAGGGAACCCCACTTTTTCTGCCATGGATTTGGTTGGTTTGTAGAGGAGTAAACTATTGGTAAACTCTCCATTTCATTCGGTTTTATTGAAGAATCTCAATGACACAGCCATTGATTTGTGGTTCTTTGATGTTCAAACTGGGGGTCTAGGAAGGCATGTTCCTCTGGCAGGAAGACCGCAAGCGGACTCGAGGTGCAGCCATCAACCCTTTCAACTGCAGATGTGTTCATCAAGTTGCAATCCAGTTTACCCGCCAGCAAATTGCAATCGATATGGACAACAAACACATATAACACATGATGTGGGAAGCCCAATGCCATAAAATGCCATAAACCATCCCCAAGTCATCACCAATAGCCATTACCCTCTGGTAATTTAACATAGCTATTGAAAATGACCATTTATAGTGGATTGTCCCATTGAAAATGGTGATTTTCCATAGCTATGTTGAATAACCAGATGGTAACCATCAAAAAAAGAAGGGTGCTATTACTGAACCATCCCCAGTCGCCTCAGACGAGCCGGAGCTGCGGCGCCGCGGGCGGCGGCGACGCGACAGCCGCGACCAGCTCGAGCCTTGGTCGGTTTTCCTCAAAGAAATAGGGGGTACCCTCTGGTAAACTAACATAGCTATTGAAAATCGCCATTTTTCATGGGAAAATCCACTACAAATGGCCATTTTCAATAGCTATGTTAAATTACCAGAGGGTACCCCAAAAGCAAGGAGTTGCCGCATGCTTCAGGTACCAGTGGGCGGATTTTTTTTTATTGGATGCATTTATCACTATTGATTTGTTTTCTTGATGCAGCCGGGATTTTTGTTGCATTTAGATCTTTTTTTGATCAGTGTCCCCACTCTGGGGTGGTTTATAAGGGAAATTCCTATTCGATGATTTGGGGGTAACCCCCATTTTGGGAAACCTTCAAATGTCATCCATTTTGAAGCACAATTTATGGCAACTCTTTGGATTTCAAGAAGAGGCTGAAAGATATTGAAGGGGAAAATCATTTACCCTCTGGTAAATTAACATAGACCCTGGCAGTCATCAGGGTTGGAAGATTAGTTTCCATTAAAACTAGGCTATTTTCAGGGTCTATGTTAATTTACCAGAGGGTACAAACCCCCTTTGATTTCATCCTGATTTTTCTCCGTTTTTTTTTTGCCCTAAACCAATCCTATCACGTGCCGTGTCTCCAAGGCGAAGAAGAAGCAGATCGTTTGGGCCTTGGTTTCACCACCTGATGTACAGCTGGCCGGCCGGCCTTGGCTGCAGGCGCCCCACTGAGCGGAAGGCGGAAGCTGAGGAAACGAAGGAAACACCGAAGAAAACCTTTGGTAAAAAGGTCAGGGGCTGAGGGGAAACATGTTTGTTTGAGACGCACATATTTTTGACTAATTAAATGATATTAAATGAACCCATGCTCATTTTGCCAACATATGACTATTTGGATCTATATATTTGGATTTGACCAGCAAACATGTGAATTTCACATGATTTCATGTGCAAGCGCGCGGATTTTGATCAATAGATCCTGGCCTTCACCATGGGAAGGGCAGCACCACCCACAGTCGATCAATTGATAGTCCTTGTAAGTGGACAACAAACCTTGGTTTTGGAATTGTTTTAGTATTACTATCACCCCCCATTAGTTATACACCCGGCTCCCCTGATTTTGGTGCAGTATTAAAGTCAATTAATTAGGTGGTTTTCCTCCTCCCCACCACAAGACTAGTTTAACCTTTTTTTCCTTTTAATTGGGTCACCATTTGCGGTGGTACATACTGACCCTTCCCTATCTCAACCCTTCTTTGATTCTTATCATTCTGATGCATTTTTCATGCTGACTCAGCCTGCAGATGCCAATGTGAAGTTAATTTCATCAAAACAAACCCTAATGGAGGCTACGATGCATCTAATTCCAGCAACATTGGTTCATCATTAACGAGCGGAGGTGTTTGAATCAACGGTGTTGTTGAACCCTTGCGGATCCTTGCGGATCCTTGCGGACCTTGTTGCCCCATAGCCGGGGAGGGGTCATTATATAATCCGATCTTGCCATTATATCAATGGGAATTTCAGGATCCTAAAATGGAGGTACTGTACCATATAAGGCCATATTTCGTGGGGATATTCCCTTACATAGGCCTTACATAGGCCTTATATATGGTAGGTACCTCCAATTTAGGTTCCTGAAATGGCCATTGATTATATGCAAAATCCTGCAAGCAAATCTAGAATGCCAGGTATTTAAGGTATTTTAAGGTTGAACCCAGCAAAAGATCGCTGTTAGGTTGCCGCCTTGGCGCTTCATAGTGAGGGCCAGGAAGAAGCTGAAGATGAGGAGCGGCGCCTCCGGTCGATCCGGGTCGGAAATTGTGGTCTGTTCAATATAACCGGGTCGGCTGGGACTGACAACTTGATGGAATTTGGGCATCATGAAAATATATGAAAATATGAGATATCGAAAATTATCGAAATGCAGGCGTGTTTTCGAAGTGGTTTAAATGATGTTCCAGTTGAACATCCACCATGTAGACCGTACGCGTTTTGGACGTTAGTTTGCTGGGGGAGTATGGAGATTTCCCTTTGCCAGGTTAGATTCACTACCCGGGGGTTGCGACAGGGGAGTGGTATGGCTGCCATGGCTTTGTCTGAAAATGAAGCACCCCCTAAAATCAAAGATTTGATTTTCTCATTTTCCTTATTTTTCAGAGCCAGAAAAAAAGGGGGTTAATCCTCAACTGTTATCCATGTTTCAGATACATCCTGGAATCCTTGGAGCCTGATCAATCCCAGCCTCGTGAAAAAAACGTGGTTCCATCCCTCAAAATCCCAGGTTGAGGCAGTTCCAAACACTGAACTCCTGGTTCTGGGATCCTCGGAGTCTGGGCGGCCAAGTTCCATGTACCCCGATGGGTATTGAATCAACATGAATCAAGCCATAAGTATGGAGGGGTTTAATGTTATCATATGTTATCTAAACCCAAGAGCCATGAAACCATATGAAACCAATGGTTTCTCGCAAGGATAAGAATTTAATGTTTACCCTCTGGTTATTTAACATAGCCATGGAACATAGCCCATTTATAAATGGTTTACCTATTAAACATGGTGATTTTCCATGGCAAACTGGTAGTCATAACCAGATGGTAACCATCAAAAATTGGAATTATATCTAGATCTTGACCCCTTGAGGCTATACGTCGTGAAACAGGGATTGATCATCTCCATGGGGACTCGGCCCCAGTGGGCCCAGGTGGACACTGGATATTCAGCTAATCCAGTGGGTAAAGTAATAACAAAGCATCCCCCAATTTTACCATTTCTATACGGGTGGTATGAACCATCAACATATGGGTGGTTGATGACATTGCTTTACCATGTCTTTCGCGCTGCAGTCATAGGCACATCGTGTTTCTTATTGGCTCAGCCAGGTCCTACTCCTACGAGTGGTCCGGAGACGAAGAGGAAATCATCAAAGCCAAGGATGGGCCCCCACACAGGGTGGCCATGATGGAAAGAGATGCAGGAAATCACTTTTGGGATTGGCATTTGGCAGAACTCCTAACTGTCCTAAGTTGCAATTTCATATTTTTTAGTCCATGTTTGATCCTTTTTGCATGTTGTTTGGATGATGGTAATTTCTGAGTATGTGGAGCGGGGTTAGGATGCCGTTCGGTTTGACTGGAAGATGGTGCAACTATATACCACATTCCCATTCCGCAAAAGAGATGTCTTCCACCGGAACCGCGCTCCTTGTTTTCATGCCGAGATCCTGATGGGAATTCGCTAGATCTTGGATGATTAGCTGGTCAGGCTGCACGACAAGCTGCCAAAGAAGAACGGCGAAGGAAGTTGGAGGAGAGACGCGCCGAAGTGCAGCGAAAAGCAGATGAGGACGCCGAGAGCTGCAGCGTTATACGATTTTGTTCCAGGCAGGCTATGAGTTCCAAGATCCAACCGATGTTGGTCACAGTAATTACCCTCTGGTAAACTAACATAACTATGGAAAATCACAATTTTTAATGGGAAAACTCACATCTCAACCAGTACTGGTATTGAGTCGACCTCCGCCAGTAGGGCGGTGGGATTCTGAACTTGCTGGCCCCTGCTGCGCAGCTGCCGCGGGGCCACACCTGCGTCGTGTCGTCGGTCCCATGTCTCAGGACCTCTGGTGCACCGCCTCGGCCAGGTGTGGTCCCCCGGCAGCCGCCTGCAGGGTGCGCATGGCTCCGTTTGTTGGCTTCCTCTGGGCGTTGCTCCTGACTGCGTTGCGTGGGTCGGCCGTGCCCGGCTGGTTGGGCCCAGAGGACCCTCCGCCGAACACCACTTTGGGCCACAGCCTGCCTCGGTTCGAGCAAACTGGCAGGAAGCACCGCCGGGCCTTGACCATCTCTCTGAACGCCCGGTGGTGCCAGCAGCGCGCGCCTCCGCCTTGCCACCTCTTAGCTGGGCTACTGCCGCCGGCGCGTCTCCATTGGAGCAAGCGGGCCCGACGCCTTTATCCTCGGCGGCCTCGGTGGCCGGGCTGGCCAATGCGAGCATGCCGGATTGGGGAAGCTGCCAATCCAGGGCCCCCTGCCCCTGGGACGCCTGTGGGTGGTGAGCGGGGGTCGGCCCGTGAACGCGAGCGGTCACCCGCCAGTGGGCGTGGCGCGCCTTCTCGACAGCGGCTGTTCTGTCCCGTCCCTGGCTGCCTTTGTGCCGACCCCACCCGGGCACCTGGTTGGGCCAACGTCGCAACCATGCGCTCGCACATTGATGCGCACCTCTCTGGCTCTCTCACTGGCGATGTGCCCGCATCTTGGATGCAAACCCACGGCCGCACCCGCTGCCTGGTCTGTGGGCTGAGCGTGTCGGAGCGACACGGCGTTCATCCCACTTGTCGCCCCGAGGCGCGGGCAGCTGCCCCTGACGGAGCCCAGCCAATGGACATCGACAACCTGCAACTGCCTTCCTTCACGGAGATCCAAGCCGCCCGCACTCCCACATTGCGACATGTGCCCGTTGCTGCCCGACACACCTGGAACCACATCCTAACCCGGGCGTTGGCAGCCGTTGTGCACCGGAATGATGAGAGGGCGTGGCGTGAACTGCTGATGTTGCCTCAGTGCCTCCTTTGTGCACCAACTCGGGGAGGTCGGCGGCACAGCAAAGCGGTCGCCGCTTATACCTTGGACCGCCTCCATCGCTGGCAGGAAGGGGAACGGCTCTCCCTTTGGTCCAGCCGGGCTGTGGGTCGTCCTCGCCGAACTACACCGCCCAGTCCAGATGCAAAAAGGAGTCTGGCGACCAGCTTGGCTCGCGAAGGGTTTGACCGAAAGGCGTGTGCTGCCTTACTTTCCAAAGGGCTTTGCCCCGAAAGTGATACCACAGCCCAAGCCCTTCAAGCGCTCCACCCCGGAGCCCGCCACCCAGTGCCCCACCACTCCATGACCTTCCCGTTGGCCCGGACATCGCCCCTGACTTGGTGACCCGCTGTCTTCGTGCTTTCCCTTCTGACACAGCACCGGGGCCCACCGGCTTGCGGGTGCAACAGTTAAAGGATGCATGTGTGCCGGGGGGCACTGAGGCCTTCCTCGCTCAGCTTGCCGCTGTTGTGCAGCTTCTCGCTCATGGCCGCGCGCCTGCCTGCGTTTCTCCGGTGCTTGGCGGGGCAGGGCTCGTTGCCCTCCCTAAACCCACGGGTGGGGTGCGACCCATCGCTGTGGGGGAAATCCTCCGCCGGCTCACGGGCAAGTGCCTCATGTCCGTTGTCCGGGAAGATGCACGTCAGCTGCTTTGGCCAGTGCAAGTTGGTGTTGCTGTGCCCAATGGTGCTGAAGTTGCAATCCACACGGTCCGAGCCTGGTCCCGCCGACACATGGGCTCCAGCACCAAAGTTCTCCTCAAGTTGGATTTCAGCAACGCGTTCAATTGCGTGTCACGGGCCGTGGTGCTTGAGGAGGTCCGGGCTCACTTCCCGCAGTTGGCTAGATGGGCCACCTGGTGCTACGGACAGCCGAGCCGGCTGCAATTTGGGGCCCGCACCCTGGAGTCGTGTTGTGGAGTACAGCAGGGCGACCCTCTGGGCCCACTGTTTTTTTCGGTAGCCTTGCACAAGGTTGCCCGCACCCTTCGGCAACCCAGCCTCGACCTCGCTTTGTTCTACCTGGATGACGGCGTCTTGGCCGGGGACCTCGCCCACGTGGCTTCTGCTTTGCAACATCTGCAGGCTGCCTCCAAAGCAATAGGCCTCGACTTGAACCTCGCCAAATGTGAGCTTGCGGTTGCTGGGCCTGTGTCTGAAACAGCTCTGCAAGCCTGCTTCCCAGCTGCCTTGCTGTGTGACGGTGGTGGCACCGGACGGGTCCAGTCCAATTTTGATTTCTTGGGAGCTGCCATCGGGGACGACACTTTCATCCGTGATCACGCTGCAGACCGGGCCGCCAAGGCTGGGGACCTGCTGGACGGGTTGGCTGAACTCACCGACCCCCAGGTAGGCTTACGCTTGCTTCGGGCATGCGGGGGCTTTTCGCGCATGGTGCACAGCATGCGCTGCAACCCGCCGCATTCCCAAAGCATCGCGCTTGACATGTTTGATGGCATGACCCGGCGCTGCTTTGGCGACTTGACAGGTGTACACCCCACTACAGCGCAATGGCAGCAGGCTGCCCGCGGGCTCGCTCATGGAGGGCTAGGTTTGCGGTCGTGTGAACACCATGCGTCAGCAGCTTTCTTAGCTTCCGTCGGCGGCTCGCTAGCTGCTTGTGCCGAACTGGATCCGGCTTTTTCTGCCGATGAGCAAAAAAGCAGCCCTGCCGTGTCGGCCGCCTTGGCCCACCTCAATGCCCACCTGCCGCCACACCAAGCTCTGAGCGTTGAGGCCGCCCTTTCCTCCAAGCAACGCGATTTGTCCCATCGTGTTGATGCGGCTGGCTGGGCCCACCAGCTGAGCCAAGCAACCCCTATCGAACAAGCCGTCCTTCATTCTGAAGCTTCTGTTGGGGGCCGGGCTTTCCTTGCAGCAGTTCCCCACGGCGCCGGACGTATGGAACCTGCAGCTTTTTGTGCGGAGCTCCGCCTCCGGCTGTTGGTGCCTGACGCTGATGCAGACGCCTGGTGTCCTCGCTGCGATGGCATCTTGGACCGGCACAGCTATCATGCTGCCACCTGCATTGCCGGTGGTGAACGCACGCGGCGGGATCATGCTGTCCGCGATCTGGTGTGCCAGTGGGCCGTGCAAGCCGGTCTTCGTCCTGAAAAGGAAGCTGCCCATCTTCTGCTGCCTCAGAGTCCCGATGACCTCAGCAGCAGCCGTCGCCGCCCTGCGGACATTTTCATCCCTGCCTTGGCCGGGTCCCCTGCTGCATTGGATTTCGCTGTCACAGCGCACACGCGGCAAGAGACTTTGGCTCTGGCTAGTCAAACACCCGGAGCGGCGGCGGCAGCCTGTGCCCAGCACAAGGTTGCATACCTGCAAACAGGCCACATTTGCCAGCAGCATGGAATTCGCTTTTTGCCTATGGTGGTGGAGCCGACAGGAAACTGGGACGATGGCGCCATGCACACCTTGAAGCATATCGCGCATGCAGCAGCTGCCCGTACAGGGGCAGACCCTGCAAAAGCCGTTGCCACCTTCCTTCAGGAACTCTGTGTGGTGACGCGGTCCTACCGGGCTTGTGCAGCTCTCCGACGACGCGCAGAGCTGGCAGCTACCTAGACAACTTCTGAGGCACAGAATCACCATTTGCATTTTTTTTCCTTCTTAGTACTCCCATGCGCCCCCTGGGCACCTTCCATTAGCCCTTTGCCTTGCTACCCTGCCGCCCACCACTGCAATGTGGTTTTTCCGCGCATTGTACAATCTGGGGTTCTCTTTGCAAGTGCGGGCCTGTTGGAGGTTTGTCCAGCAATTCCTTTTTTAGGCGAGTGGAGTAGGTTTGCTGCCATTTTCCACTGTGGGTTCTACATTTCTCGCAGGGACAGTGGCACACCGCATTTTCTTGTAGTTTATGTCTTACAGCAATTCGATACGTGATGATGTCACGTTTTGGATATTCTCAGCATGATTTGTTTGTGAAGATGGCCATTTTCAATAGCTACAGTATGTTAGTTTACCAGAGGGTATTGTAGATTTTAGTGTCCCCCTTCCTATCAGAAGTTCTACACCCTACACCCCAAAGTGAACCCCCGAGAGGTGGAACTTAAGTTCGGCGCCATTCCAGGAACGACAAAAAGCGGAGGAACAGCGCTTGGAAGCAGAACGAAAGGCTGAAGAAGAGCGGCAAGAGGAACGCAGGGCCCGCAGGGCTTTGTGAGGTTCAACGGTGCTGTTACCTGGCTGTGGCCAACATGTCATGTTAATGATGTGAGGCTGCATCAATTGGGGAGCACTTTTAAAAAAACGCATGTGATGTTGGCATGTAAAATATGGAAAGGAACGGGCTTCAAAAGGTGGCACCATGTGGCACCTCATCAGTCCACCCCGCCACCGGTGTTTTACTGGCAGGCTGAATGCAGGGCGGCAGAAGCGAAGGCACGAGAAGCCGAAGCTGAGGCGAACGCTTCCGCTTCAGCTGTTGCTTGATGATTGGATGGGGGGTTATACTTTCTTTCTTTAGTTCAAAAGGATAATCCATGAGCTGGGATTTCCTATTCACCAGCCAGTGTAATGAATGGGATGATGCTCTCCATATTGAAATAGGAGCGAGAGATTCATTTTCACCGTGAACCAGATCGATGATGTTTTCATATGCCCATTTTTGTTGCTGATATCCCCTAAAATCTTACTCATCCTGGTTGTGACTGGTGACACGAATATATCTCATATCTATACATATCTGAACATATTGGAAGTCAGTTGTTAGTCTATTATTCTTGTCCCGTATCTTACAGCAAACTCACCAAATTTATTTGCATATTATGGAGTCTTGCGGCCAAAGATGTTCTTTTTTCATATCTTTTCATCCTCCCTATGTTGATTGCCATTGTTCATCATTGTTCATATAAGAGCTGGTTGGTGGTTTGGAGCATTTGGCTTATTTTCCCTACATATATTGGGAATTTCATCATCCCAATTGACGAACTCCATCATTTTTCACCAACCAGATAACCATGGTTTTCATCATTATTAACCACTATTAATCCACTATAGTCCATTATAATCCACTATATATCACCATCAAGAGCATCCCGATTTTCCGTCCTATTCCTCCATCATTTCCATGGCACACAGATCGTGGCCAAAAACGGCAAGGCCAAGCGCAAAGCTGACGAGGACATTGCCTTGGTCCGGAGTTCCTCGCAGGACGCGGCCGCTGAGGATCCCATGGTGTGAAAAATGATGTTTCAATTGATGTTCAAACAACATGGGATCATTATATCATTAATGATGGTTAATTATGATGGTTAATGATGGTTAATTATGATCCTTAATAGTACCATTAATGATCCGTAATTGATGTTCAAGGAAACTACGTTTACGATAGTTTTAATGATACTAGAATGATCCGTAATTAATCTATAATGGATATGTTCATGGATATTTGCAGGAATCCCATGGTTGCTCATCGAATGTTGGGAGTTTCGACAAAGTTTCCCTCAGGTCATTCTAATACCATTGGCGCTGGAAGCCTAACTAGTGGAAGCTGAGTTCCAAACTTCTTCAAATTGCCGAGCAGAAATTCATGTTCTGATGGGTTTGCACCCTGAAAGCTGAGGTTTAGGTTCAAATGGGTTGCCTGGGGGTATGCCAAGCAGCTGCCGTTGAGATACCACTGGAGAGCGGCTTGGAGAGCGTGCAGGTCGTGGCTCAAATCATGAATTTATATGATGTGTTGAAACACAACAAGAGAAGAAACCATATTTTTGCAAAAAAAGTGCCACTGGGCAATAGACCAACTGCCAAGGCCATCTTGAAACACGCAGACTGATCTACTTATGTCCTCAGATCTTCACTTTCTTGGTCTGTTATGGAACCCCTATGTTTTCAACCATGAAGTCCTTGGGTCATGTTCCGAAAAGTGCACCTGCCCAAGCAGCCATGGGACTTGGGCTGAGCATCGCCGGAGCACCAGTGGCAGTGACCGTTGCAGCCGTTGCACCGTTGCGGTCAGCCAGCTGCGCAGGAACCTCAGATCATTTCTGGAGTAAACCTGCATCCTGTGACCAACCAGAAGGGTTGTCATGGGGTATCGCCCGTATTCCCTGTGTCAGACAATCCATATGATTCCATATGTCTATGATATGTTATTATATATATAATATAAATAAAATAATATATATATATATATATTGTATATGTTATAGTATCAATAAATAAATAATTTTAAATAAACGGATAAATATGTATCTATATATATATATTACACACACACACTACAGTAGTAGTTTTTAGCGTCATCAATAGATTGATCTAAGGCAAATAAAGCATAATAAAGCATCGTTTTACCATCAGATACACGGACTTCCTGTTGTGCCTTCAATTCTCGGGTATTCTGGGCAGTTCTGGGCAGTTCAGTAGGTGGATATGTTTTTTGTTGGTTCAAACTTCGGTGTTTCTCAAAGACTCAAAGATTGGAGGACCCCTGGACCCATCATTTCCCCGGTTTCCGTTCTATCAGCTTTGGAAACCACCATTTCCTATCAAAATCTCATCATATTCCCATCAGAATCCCATCATATTCCGATGAAATTCCCAATGAAAGCATCGTCTCCGGGCCAAGCTGATCGCAACAATCCCCTTTTTGTCGCGCATTTCTAAGGCAAGTCCTCCACGCGTTTTTTCGCGCCAGGCCGTCTCACCTTGCTTCGGGGGCCGGTCGCAACGGTGGAGGTGGTGAGTACCTTTGAAATCCGAAACTGGGGACAAGTCCCAAAAAGATCCTCAGGATTTCCTTAGGTATATTATCCATTATTAGCCCATTTTTCTTGGTACTTGGAGGATCTAGGATATATTTATATAATCTTAATCTACTTATTGAGTTTTTTAATCCAGCTCATACCTCGGGGGCACCAGCTTGTAGCAACTCCCAAAAAGATTCAAAAGTAGGTAAAATCCTGCCAAAGTACCGTGATGGATTATGGTTGTTTTGCATTTGTTTACCGTTTTTGGGGTTACTCTACTGGATTTGCTGGACATACTCATGGTGACCTTATACCGTATATAGGCTGGATCCATAATTCTCGGTTCATCTTTCAGGTGTTTCAACCAGATAGTGTGTAACCAGATGGCTATGTTAAGCATCTCAGATGGCTTTCAATTTTTTTTGGTTAAAAACCCTGGAGCCATGATAGACTATCGTAAACTTCCAATTAATCGATATAGACTATAGATATATCGATCCATGGGTCATCCATGATCAATCGTTGTAAGCTACGACCAGGCCACCGGACTGCCATGGGCTTATGAGAAGGGTAAAATTCAATGCCATAAACCATCCCCCGAATCACAAAAAAATAGGTGGTAGGTGGTATCAGCCATTCCCAGTCATGGGTGGTTTATGATTGTTTTACCCACATTACTGTCACATTACTCCTATCTACTCATGGGTTTGCCACATGATACAAACAGCGGACCACACTTAATTACACTTGCCACCCGTTGCCCGAATGACAACTCAAGGGATGGTAAACACTTGACGTCTTTGCGAACACTGTTGATTCCTTTTTTTGTTGGGCAACGTTCTCGGATATCAAACGTCAGTATCCAATAAGTAGTGTTTTAAGTTTTTAAGAGCAAAACTGGTTCGGCGGTTTCATGGTTTTGGTTGCAACATGTGTCAACATGTGTCAACCATATTTTGGGATGATGGTCCTCAATGATTTAAATGTTTTTGGATGGCTCAAAAACAAGCCGCTTTGGTTCGAAACAACGGCGGTTTGTCGGTGCAATGGTTCATCACTGCATTCCCCCCTTTGGGGGATCATCATGGATCATCACTATGGGGTCTCCGCACCATTCCAAACCTCTACGGTAACCCAAACAACCTTTTGTGATTACAATTGGTTGATTGAAATTTTCCATGGAAAACTTGTTCTTATTCTGCCAAACCCTGGCATACCTGGCATGACGACCACAGGTTTCTACCTCGTTCACATTCAAGGGCTCTCAACTTCCACTGTGCACACCTCAGTGGATTGTGGATGAAGCAGACAACGCATGGCATGTGGTTTGGAGCACCAAAATATGACGTTCCTTTAATGTGCCATGATTGAAGTGCTTCAAAATGGGTTCATGTATCATCTCTTTACCTAGAATAAATCCATCAATCCATCCGTCCATCCATCTATTAGTTTATCATTGTTTATTTATGTATTTATGTTTGCTTTATCAACGTATGCACATATAGAATCGTATATACAATTATATACAATCATGTGCACAAGTACACACACATACATAATATGATGTACTGTATATCCTTGTATAGCTACATATTTGTACTATTATGTGTTACGTGCGTATTGGTACGCTGTCGTTTGTCCTCATGCAGGCTGTGTGCAGGCCGCCGTTTTCAGTGGGTTTGGCCCTTTGGCGCAGAAACAAAAATATTCGAGTAGATCATGTGGCACATGGTAAACGCCAATTTTTGGATCATTTTTGCAGTTTTGTGAGCACAAAAAACAAAATGAAGAGGAATGATGACGTTTTTTGGGGGCACCAGAACCGGAGCTGCTTGTGTTGTGTGCCGAAATTGGTTTTAGCACTGGATTGGTTAATAAAGGGAAGATCTAAAGCAAATTATGGACTTCCCAGCTAAATGCAGAGGTTTCATGTAAATGTTCGCTTTAACCATTGCTAGGCTTGCGTAAAATGCTTACTGCTTATTGCTTACAAGCACATTTTTTGGCTCAAACTCCATTTGTTTGCTGTTTAAACCATATCAGATCCCTTATACTGATCAAACCTCTAATGGAGGTAAAACAATCATAAACCACCCATGACTGGGAATGGTTGCCATACCACCAATTTATGCTGAAATGGAGGGTTGTTTATTGTTGCTTTACAACAACCATTATTTTTGTTCCCAATCTCCAGCGCCTGACAGGAGTAGCTTCACTGCGGGGACTTTGCGGTGGCGGAGAAAAGCGCCGTCCCGCCCGTCGCTGTATTGCACGGCGCTGCAATGCAGTGGCCGTTTTGGAGGCGCACATGACCTGACTACCCTCCGGTAATTTCTTACAAAGCTATCCCATACAATCCATGTATGCTATATATGGTAACATTTACCATCAATATACCCCCAATGTTAGAATATATATACCAGCACCATGGATCCTATGGGTATAGTATAGATGGCCATAGATGATTTTACTGCATCCTAATTATTGAAAATTATGATTTCCCACTGCCATGTTTGATTACCTGAGGGTGTATACGTGTATATATATATGTATAATATACGGATATATATATATATTGTGATTCGCACATTCCAATGCCCAGTATGACAAGCATCTCCACTTTCGAGTGTCTCTTCTCAAGGCGTGTTGGCTCAGGCGAGCATAGGTGCGGGCACTTCGAGCCATAGTTGTGCTAGGTGGCAGGGACCACCAATAGGACCAGGGTGTCCTTGCAGTTTCCTTGGAAAGCAGCGGAGAGCCCAGCCATATCCTGTGCCAGTCGGGTCGAGACTGTTGCACTTGTAGCTGGCATCGTGAGGAAAACAGATTGGTGAGCGTTTGGTGGAGCTTGGAATTGCAAACCATTTGAGACAGGGATTTATTCAGTTTGCATCTGGTTTTGACAAACAAGCTGCTATTCACTTCATCAACTGGGGTTGCTGCCATTTACATTGGTAGCGGAGCCCCCCGCAAAGGGGGGTATCCGGGAAAACTATGTCATCGACTTCCGATGCTGGAGGTTCAGGTGTCAGCAATCAACTGTCGTCATTGGTGCCGACATTCGATCCTGCCACTGATGATCTTTTGATTTATCAGCAGAAGGTGGAATTGGTGGTCGCAGCATGGCCTAAGGGGAAGCTTCCAGAACTGATTACAAGACTGATTTTGGGGTGCAAGGGCACGGCATTCCAAAAGTTGCAGATACATCAGAGTGAGCTTCTTCGAGGAGATGAAGGTAGTATCAAGAAATTGATAGAATACCTGGGCGGACAGTGGGGCAAAATTGCCTTAGAGCGCCAATATGAAGATGCAGAGCAGGCTCTGTATCATACGATACAGAAGCCAGACGAGGCAAACGACTCCTACCTGGCCAGAGCTGACGTGATGTGGAGCCGACTTTTGGCCCGACAGATGACGCTGGACCAAATCCAAGCGTACGTGGTTCTGCGTGGATCCTTGCTGACGGCTGATGAAAAGAAACGTGTGATCATGGACAGCGAAGAGTCTGGAACTCTCACTATGAAGCAAGTGCATGAGGCCATCAGGGTCCTTGGGGCGAGTTTCTTCAATGAGATGACCGGCCGTAAGGCCACCCGAACGAAGATCTATGACAACACGACCTTCCTGACTGAGGCAACCACCGACCATGCCGCAGTTGCCGAAACAGACATGGGAACCAGTTTGAACGATGATCAAGCTGAAGCTGATTTCTTGGAAGTTTTGATTCAAGAAGGAGACCAAGATGCGTTGCTCATAGCTGATTTTGAGGCAGCTGCTCAGGAAACAGTTCAAGATGACCATGAGTTAGCAACGGCATTTTCAGCCTATCAGCAAGCTCGACATCGACTGGGTGAAAAGTTTCGCAACCGTGGATTTTTCCCTGCGAAGCCATTTGCTGGAAAAGGGAAGGGATATGGTGGGAAACAGTTTGGAAAAGGGAAGGGATATGACAATCGTCCCAAAAGGACTCTGCAAGAACGTATCATATCCTCAACATGCAGACTGTGTGGAGTTCGCGGACATTGGAAGGCAGAATGTCCGTTGAAAAATCAAGGAAGTGCCAACTCATCCGAAGCCCAGACTGCCGCTCCGACATCCACTGTCATCACGACCGCCAGCAGCAGTAGCTTGCCGCTTGAGTTCCTTGATTTGCCTGAGACCTCCATAGATGAGCCCAAGCCAAGTTTAGCCTTTTGTTTTACTTGTGAACCAAGTTTTGATAAGAACAGATATAGTTACAGGGATTACAGGGGACGTATTCTTGGGGAATCACACAACGGGAACTATGATCTGAGTTTTGGTTTTAGCAGGTTCACAGCCAAAGAACGTTTGCGCAGCCATCTTGTCAGGACTGAAAGATGCCAGACGCCGACACACGATGCCCAAATGAGTGACACCCGAAAGTTTCAATCCGTGAGTGCCAGATCCGTCCCGTCCGATCGTGCCAAGGTCATTTTGACTAAGGTGAACTGTGACGTAGCTGCAGCTGAAAAAGTGAACAATGTGGCAACACCAATCAATACCAACTTTTCCAACATGTTTTGCAACCCATGATGCCTACGGAGTACTTGACCTTGGCGCTTCAAAGACTGTCATAGGATCAGAGCACGTGAAGGGTTTAATTCAAAGCCTGGATGAGGAAACCCGTTCTCAATTGACCCGGTGTCCCTGTGAAGTCACCTTTAAGTTTGGAAACCAAGGTACTCTGACTAGCAGCCAGGCCATTGTGGTACCCATAGGCAAACTCCGACTCAAGATAGCAATCGTGAAGGGAGGAACACCTTTCCTCATCAGCAACACTTTCATGCGTGCCATTAGGGCCAAGATTGATTGCTTTTCGCACAGCCTGTCAAGTCCGATGCTGAATCATGCCATTCCATTGGAATCACCGAGAGAGGATTGTTTCTACTTAATTTGAACGATGTCGTGAAGGCCGCCATGAATCAGCAGTCATGCGGAAGCCCCGACACGAAGCCTGTCGAAGCAACCTTCCTGAGCACTGAAAAATCCACTGCCGCAGCCGCTGCTGAAGCCTTGACTTCCGACAAGCCATCAGTCATAGATTTCAGCATGCCATTGCCAGAATCCGTGAGCGCCGAGGGTTTTCAAGAGGCGACAGGTATCCAAGTTGTAACATCCGAAGCCAATGTTGACCATGAGATGAATGCTGAATACCGTGAGCCCACGGTCCAAGATCCCTGCCGATTCCCTGATCGAACTTTACTGTCCAGCCATGTCTCTCCTTGCCCGCCTGAAGGCCGTTCAGACCGAAGTGGAAGTGCCGCTGACCGACTTGTCTCAGTTGACCCTTGCAGAGCTGAAGACAGCGGTGGTCTCATTCGGTCAGAAACATGCCGGGGAGACGTTCGAGACGGCTTGGGAAGATCAAAGCTGGATCAACTTCATGGTAGCGAAGTATGGGACCAGCAAAGTTCTCAGCCATCGTCGTCTGATCAGGTTCGTGGAGTTGATGGTGGAGCAGCACGAAAGAACCAGCACTCGAGTGCCGGTGCTGCCACCGCCGGAATCGGTGGCCGGAGGCTACGCCTTGATCGGCGAGCTTTCTGGACGCAGATTCACCCGAGCCAAGGCCATGGCCATGAGCACAGTTCCATCTGGGGTCACAGAACCCATTCCACTGGACCAGGACGAAGAACAGGAGTTCGAGATGTTCAACCAGGGGACTACGGCCACGACTCCTCTCCATCAGGATCCGGAATTCACTGCTCTTCAGGATCGTATCCTGAACATGGAGAACGCTCTGGGCCGCGTGATCAAGCACCTGGAGGACCAGATCGAGAAGCAGTAGATGTGAGGGATCCCGAAAGTGAGACGGTAGCCGAGTCATGTCTGGCCATGCACCAAGATGTCCAGGAACTGCATCAGATGATCCGAAAATTCACTCAGGAACTTGAAGGAGTGTTATCATACAGCAAGCCTTTAGGGAAACCTTTCATGATGGGTGAAGTGTTTTGCAGTGATGAATCACCTCTGACGCAGCAGGTTCTGAACATGGGACATCAGGCCTTTAGATTTGGCTTTGCACAGGGCGATCTTTCAACCATCGGTGGCCGACAGAAGCTGTTCCAGATGATAGCCACTCATAGGCCGAAGCACTTATGGTATAGCCCGGTTTGTGGTCCATGGTCGTCTTGGTCTGCCCTGAATGCCAGTAGGCCTTTGGAATCGCAATGGGAATATCAACAACAACGTAGCGATTTGCGATATCAGATTGCCCTGGGTGTTGTTCTGTATCGATATCAAGTATCTAGAGGTTTTCACTTCAGTTGGGAGCAGCCCCAAAAATCGCTGATGTTGCTTCACCCTGGCCTTAGTGAAATTCACCAGCATACTCAGGTAGCCCAATTCGACATGTGCGAAGCCGGTGCACTCAAAGACCCTGTCAATCAACTCCATATGAAGAAGGGAATGCAAGTAGTCACTACTCATGAACCCTTGTTTCGTGCACTCCATGGTCGAACATGCAAGAAGAATCATGATCACCAACACCTTGAGGGATCGACACAAATTCATGGTCATTCAGTCCTTCGAACCAAGTTTTCCGAGATTTATCCCCGAAAATTTGTGAGACTGGTTGCAAAAGTTTTGTGCCAACGTGGTCACCAATGACCATTCCAGTGGAAGACCGGCCTTGCCCTGTGTCAATGCAATTCTGGTGATCCGATACCAGTGCTTGCAGCCAGCCAGAAGCGTCCCACCTTGAGACTTTCAAGCTACCGAGGCCGTGACAGCTTTGCCCGATCTCAACTGTCGACGCCGGAAGAGAGTGATGAAGCCGGGGTGAAACGTAGAAGACTAGAAGGAAAACAAGGACCTATACCCACCATGAAGGACTGTCAAACTGTCTTTCAAGAGATCCAATCAATGTTACCCCGAGTTGGCAAAAGAGAGATTCAAGATTCCAGCATTCTTCAACAACTCCAAGTAATATTTCCAGATCGTCAAGTGATTACAGCCGTTGCATGCAGAGGCACTGATCGAACCATTCCTCCCCCTGAACATTTACATAAGAGTCAAGCCCCTTTCCGTAAGACACTCATGATCCTTCGACCATCAGGGGATATCAGGTATGAAAAAGAATGGGAACATTGGTCAGATCTCTCCAATCGTCAAATGATCAGACCCGCTCATCCGTGCCGCATTAACATTACGGTTTTTGCCAAAGAGTTTGAACCTGAGATCACTCCAGGTCAACCCAGCACTCACCCGACCTCGACAGTGAACCGTGAGACTGATACTTTTGATGATCCGATGCCAGCCAATCCCGATAGCGCAAGTTTGCAGCCCATGCACCCGTCACCACAGAATGGCGAAGTCCGTTCTCCACGTGTCACTACGACTCCGAACTCTGAGAGACCTGAGCAATCGGCCCATCGAGAAATTTGCAGACATGATCAGGGTACCTATTTCCATGCACTCCCAAAATGGGAACAGAACCAACTGATACAGATTCATAAGAATCTCGGTCACCCTTCCAATGAACGACTTGCCAAGGCACTGCAATCAAATGGCCAGAGACCGGAGATGGTGAAAGCTGCATTCGAGCTCAAATGTGGCATTTGTGCCGCCAGTTCCGCTCCCAAGCATCAAAGACCAGGAAGATTGAAACCACTTCTTGATTTCAATCATAGAGTCTATGTTGATGGAATCAAGTGGACAAATAAGAAGGGTCAAAGTTTTCAACTGTATCATGTTGTGGATGCTGGGACACACTTTCATGTTGCCTTTACTGCCCCTGCGCACTCGACCCGAGATGTGATTGCCCTGCTGAACCAGCACTGGCTGAATTGGGCGGGAGCCCCACAGGAAATGAAAGTTGACTCTGGTACCGAATTGAATAGTGATGAATTCCAACAATTTCTTCAAAGGTTTTCTATTCGGTGTACAACAATAGCTCCCGAAGCACATTGGCAGAACGGCACCATAGAACGTCATGGAAGTTTTCTACAGCAAATGTTATCCAAAGTGGACCTTGAGATACCCATTGAAAATTATCATCAATTGCAATTGGCCCTGAACCAATGTTGTCAATCCAAAAATAGCATGATGGTAAGAAATGGTTACAGCCCCGAAATCATGGTTTTCGGTAAGCAGAGCCGACTCCCAGGCTCCGTGCTCAGTGATGAGTCATTGCCGGCCCATACAGCTGCCATCCAAGAAAATTCAGAGTTTACAGCAGCGGAATTTCGCGATCAACTCAGGCTTAGGGAAGTGGCAAGACGAGCCTTCCACACGGCTGACAACAGCGATGCCCTGCGAAGAGCACTGCTCAAAAGATCATGTCCATCTAGGGGTGTATATCATAAGGGCCAATGGGTAATGGTTTGGAGAAATACGGGTCCCCAGAAACAAAATTGGATAGGTCCTCAAAGGGTCAAAATCCAAGATGAAAGCCACACCATTTGGACCACTCAGGGAGGAAGACTTTACCGCAGTGCACCAGAGAACGTAAGATTGTCACTTCCTGAAGAAGGTGAGCCCGGTGGACCTGATTTGCCCGAAGATTTGACTCAAATCCAACAACAAATCAATCGAATTTCCCAACATCCTGAAGCCATGCAATCAATTCCCGAAAACGAACAACTTGAACCTGACATTGATGCCACATTACAGATGCCACAACCTTTTCCGGAAGACCACCCTGCAGTTGATTCCGAGTCAAGTCCTCGAGCTAGCAATGCCAGCGAAACCACTGTTCAGCCAGATCAAGAACCAGAAGCATTAAGCCGCCAAGAGACTCATCACCCGGATGAATCTCCAATTGATCATGCCGAAACTTTCCTTACGTGTGCTGAGGATGAATGCGTGCTGACAAACAGCAATGACAACCCTCTTGCCTGGAAGTGTGAATTCGACATCACAGTGCCAGAGACAGTTGTGAAACAAGATCTCACCCCAGAAGAAACATGGATTCTTGTAGCCACAACCTCAAAGAAACAACGATCAGAAGTCCGACTGGCCGAGCTCACACCCAGTGAACGTGAGGAATTTGCTGCTGCCAAGCAAGTTGAAGTGAACAATTGGATCAAAACCGAGACACTATCAGTAATGCTGCGTGACCAGATTCCCCCCGATCAAATCTTAAGATGTAGATGGGTGCTCACATGGAAACCACTAGACGTAGCTGAAGGGGGTGCAGATAGCCAAAGCCTCAAACAACATAAGGCCAAAGCTAGGATTGTGGTACTAGGATACTTAGACCCACATCTTGATGAAATTCCCCGTGATAGTCCTACCCTTGGTAGATCATCCCGAATGGTAATCCTTCAAACGATCGCTTCACATGGATGGCACTTGCAATCCTTCGACATTAAAGCAGCTTTTCTCCAAGGACAACCACAGAAGGACCGTCGAATCGTAATTGATCCTGTGAGTGAACTTCGAACAGCCATGAAAATGCAACCTTCCGAAGTAGCCAGACTTCATAAGGGAGCCTACGGTCTCATTGATGCTCCATACCTTTGGTATTGCGCATTGGTTCAAGAATTAACCAGGTTAGGCATGGAATCTTGTCCATTTGATCCTTGTGTATTTATACTTCGTGAAGATTCGTTCACTCCAAATGATGATCAACCGAGACCTTCCAACATTGCTCCTGCCACTGGCCCGATTGTTGGAATACTTGGAGTCCATGTGGACGACGGCATTTGTGGTGGAAATGAACAATTTCAACATGTTCTTCAACTTTTGGAACGGAAGTATCCCTTTGGAGCCAAAAAGATGACCTCTTTCACTTTCACCGGTATTGAGGTAAACCAAGATCCCAGTTTTAACATTACCCTCAGCCAATCCAATTACGTTCGTAAAATCAGTCCAATCCCCATTGACATTAACCGTAAATCCCATCCTGAACAACCTGTCAATGATGAAGAACGTGGACTTCTCAGAGGGTTAATTGGGTCCCTGCAATACGCCTCTACGAATACCCGACCAGATCTTTCAAACAGACTATCTACCTTACAGTCACAGATTAACAGTGCTCAAGTTGAAACCATCATGGAAGCCAACAAGCTCCTTCATGAAGCAAAGAAATACCACGACACTACCATCACTATCAAATCCATACCCCATGAGGATCTTCGGTTCATGGTATTTTCAGACGCATCATTTGCCTCTAGTTCCAAACCCTACTCATATGCCGGTAGCATAATTGTGGGTACCCACCGAGACATATCCAAAAATGTTGAATGCCCTATCAGTCCTCTGATATGGGGAAGCAAAAAGATCCAAAAAGTAGTAACTAGCACGCTTTCAGCTGAAACTGTTTCCATGGCATCTGCCTTGGATCGATTAAGTTGGCTGCGGTTATACTGGAAATGGCTCCATGACCCCAAAACTCAATGGCATCGACCTGAAGATGCTCTTATGAAGGTTGAACCAGCCATCTCAGTTGCCACATTGCCTTCGACCGCAGATGTTGCAGTAACCGACTGCAAGAGCTTGCATGATCTCATTACTCGTACTGCTCCGCCGCAGTGCTCTGAGTTCCGTGTCCAGCTTGTTGCCAGGGCCATCAAGGAGACTTTAAGGGAAGGTATTAACTTGAGATGGGTTCATACAGGAGCCCAACTTGCAGATGCACTGACTAAGGCGATGGAAGCCAGATTTCTCAGAGAGACCCTCAAACATGGTTCTTATCGACTTTGTGATGAAAACTCAATGTTGAAAGAACCCGCCAAAACTCGTGACAGAATCAAATGGCTCAAACAACAAGGATCCAGTTCAGAAACCGATGCATTCAATAACCATTCTATCTCACCTGCAACTTCACTTGACACAACCAATTCTCAATAAATCTCCCTTTTACCTTCAAAAAAAAAAGAAATTTTGGGAGTGTGATTCGCACATTCCAATGCCCAGTATGACAAGCATCTCCACTTTCGAGTGTCTTTTCTCAAGGCGTGTTGGCTCAGGCGAGCATAGGTGCGGGCAGGGTGGGCTCAACGCCCTTCGAGCCATAGTTGTGCTAGGTGGCAGGGACCACCAATAGGACCAGGGTGTCCTTGCAGTTTCCTTGGAAAGCAGCGGAGAGCCCAGCCATATCCTGTGCCAGTCGGGTCGAGACTGTTGCACTTGTAGCTGGCATCGTGAGGAAAACAGATTGGTGAGCGTTTAGTGGAGCTTGGAATTGCAAACCATTTGAGACAGGGATTTATTCAGTTTGCATCTGGTTTTGACAAACAAGCTGCTATTCACTTCATCAACTGGGGTTGCTGCCATTTACAATATATATACATATACATGTCTTCTGACTGGGGTGAGACTAAGTGACTACCGTCCTATTCAATCCACTTAAGATATGAGCCTCTTTGGAGAATGGAACGCGACCTTTTTTTAAGTGGAAATGCATCCATAAAGCCATAAAGACCTGTAGAATATTGTAGAATCATATCAATACCCGTGGGCCCTTCAGTAATTAGAAAATGGCTAGCTAGGAAAATCTTGGAACTTCATGGAGGATGTTCTATTGCCATGACTATCATCTCATACATTGTTGATTATCCTACTATACAGACTATATCCCCATTATATCGTATTATATCATATTATATCCATCAAAGACACCGATGAATGTGAGTACAGCAATGGAAAACCAGCCCATTAATTTTACCATTTCTATGGGTGATATATATATATATATAAAAACATATAAACATAGAACCATCCATCCATATGGGTGGTTCATGACATTGCACTAACATGATATGGGACCCTGCACTGCCACGTCATGGGGGGCCTCCTGGGAACCTCACAGGTGAGCCCAGATGAGGCGCAGAAGTTGGTGCCCGGTCTACGGTTCTTTCCGGACTTCCTCAGCGAAGAAGAAGGCCGTGGCCATCCATGGCCCGACTGCTTGGTCCTCCAATGTAGCTATGGAAGACTTGGGATGAAAATGGACGGTTGATGTACCCAACCTGGTTATGACTAACATTGCCATGGGAAATGGTCCATAGAAATAGATGGTTTACCTCTTAAAAATGGTGATTTTCCATGGCATAAATAACCATATATCATATGGTAGTCAATTTATGATGCATATTGAAAAACATGATGGTTTTCCGTAGCTATATGTTAGATTACCGGGTGGGTATAACCCCAATTAAGTCAGTAGGGTAGGTGGGGTTAGTCCAGTTAACTCACTATAACACACTTACACTTCCTGGGGTGAAGTGGGTGAAGCACCAAGTGGTCTCAGTCAAAAGAACAGTGACCCAAACCCTTCTTCATTGATCTTGATTGGTCGTTCTAGCAGACTCTACTCCCTAAATCTATGAGGACCATGATTCTATGATGACCCATTCTGCAATCTCTATCACTATCACCCAGGCAGTACAAAGGGAGGATAGAGATGAATAGAGTATCTTAAGCACTGCTGAAGTAATTCCCCACCTGCCAGGCGACAATCTCTGCCAGCACGTCGTGTCTGTCAGCAGGGCCAGAAGCAAGTCTGGGCACGCATGGACCCGAACACTCGCGAGCTCCGGATGCAGCTGGGCACGCACCGACCTGAACACATGCGGAAAGAATGCCATGCAGAATAGATGCCACATAGAATGTTGAATGTTGGAAAGAATGCCAGGTAGAATGTCAGAATATATGTCAGATAAAATGCTGACAGAATGTCATAATATATATATACGTATAATTATATACATATCAGATAGGATGCCAGAAAGAATGTCAGAATATATGTCAGATAGAATGTCACTTGGTGGGGTTCACTCGAAGAAAGTAATTTATCTTATATCATTTGCAAATCCAAGGCTCACCTAGTTGCTTTGGAGGATCATCCCACCTAGCAAGTGGTTAACAATACTAATGATTCCCTGGATAGTAAGTCCTAGTGGCTTATCCCATTTACGCATGGCCGAAAATATAACCCTTGGTGATCTGCAGGAGAGGCTTTAGCATCCTACCTGGATCACAGCCCGCCGGCGTGGCGGAAGGAACAGTTCGGAGTGCCCACTTTGTACAACGTGGCTGGGCAAAGCAGTTGGTGGATGTCAACATGGGGGGTACCCTCCGGTGTCAACATGTGAAATCCTTGCAAATGCTGGGAACCCCCCAATTTATGGAGGTCTGAATTTGGAAAAACCCATCCAACTGAATGGTGGAATTTTAGTGGATTGCAGGTTAAAAACATGGAATTTTCCACGATAAGCCAGTGCTGTGGGTATGGGTAAAAAAAAAACAAGACGCTCCTAAACAAAACAGCTGTGGCAAGCACGGAATTGTGTGGGAGGGAAAGGCCTGTGGCTCAGTATGAAATCACTTTGTTTGGTTTCAAGTCGTAAGCCAACAGTGGACATTATCTACATTTTGGCCCTCCAAAACAATATTCATATACATATAATTTAATTATGTATATATATATATATACAATGAATCTATAATCTATCATTTATAAATACACATACACACACACATAGATAGGTAGATAGATAGATAGACATACAGACAGATAGATAGATAGAGTCTCGTGACTTGTATCCTTTAGCTATGAGGTTGAACATGAACCCTTGACGCGACACAGCAACAGGTGAAACACTTCGGGGTGCTGGGATCATTGAGGCCTCGAATGGTGCGTTGCTCGGTGGATGTTGGGAATATAATGTGGTTAGAACAATAATAAACCATCCCCAAAATCATCATAAATGGGTGGTTTAAACCATCAAAAATTTGGTGGTTTGTTATTGTTTTACCCACATTACTGCATTACAGAGTTTTTTCATGTCATGATCATCCATCAATATCCATCATCCAAGAGATGGTGGCAACATGTTGGAAACTTGGAAACTTCCAATTAGTTGATGAATTGCCCACAGGATGGTGCCCCCCAAGTGATGTGAATGTTGGTTTATAATCCCATTAACTAGTTCGATATATCTACCATAATAAGTCCTAACGTGAAATTAGAGTTATGTTCACCAACTTTAATAACTCCAATAACTATGGTTTATGGTACTTATAGCTATTATTACTGGGGTTTATAAACCAACTTATAACTGGGGGGCACCACCTTGTGGCATTCGCCCTTGAGGCTTGCCAGATCCATCCAAGGGGGAAGTCGACCTGCCTGAGGATGGAATTTTGGGGGAGGCGTGGCCCGCTCAGTTCGACCGCTGAAACTCATGGATCAATCATGGATCTCAGATCCATCAAAACCCTGCGATGTTTCTATCTGTATCTCCAAGAAATCCACAAAAAAAACGATCAAAAACGATCAAAAACTATCAAAAACGATCAAAAATTATCAAAAACTCATTTTTCAAACCCGAGAACGGCCAAGTTGTCAACTTTGCCCCTGAGAATCGGCCAAGTTGTGCAACAGATCAACAGGCCGTTTCCCAGTGGCGTCAATTGATCACCCGGGCATCAGGTGGCGACGAGGTTGGGAAAGAAAGGAAAGCCCTGGAGCAGCTGCCTAAAGTCCTTCAAACCCAATGAGGCACAGATGAGTTAATAAGGGGAATCATACCCAAATGGCCGAACTTAAAAAAAGTGTATGAATCACTGTGATTGATCAAGATATATCGAGATTATCGAGTTGGTAAGCATCTTGCAGATTCCGATTCTTTGAAACGTTTGAAACTCTGCCCGCCCTTCAAATCTCGTAAGTGTTTTCAAAAGGATTGAACCAGGGGGGGTACTTTCCTATTCATCAAGCAGTGCGAAAACTCTGAGTTGGGCCATGGGGTGTTGAGGGAGTGATGGAAAAACCACCTGCAAAGGTGTGCCACTTGGGCATGGCTCAAAGAATCTGGCCTCACTAGTCACAGATTCTCATCAGTTGAATTAAGTGTCAACCATTGGATTTGTTTGGCTATGTTTGGGTATAATGTTGTCCCTACAAGGTGGTGCCCCCAAGATAGCTAAGTTGATTTATAACTCTAATAACTAGGACTTATGGTAGATATATCTATAGTTGATGGGATTATAAACCAACTTACAACTTGGGGGCACCACCTTGTACACAATCTTGACCCGTGGTGTTCTTTCGCACTATTTTGATCTTGTCCAATTCTCGCTGCAAGAAATGTTGACCCGGTTTTTTATGGGAGCCCCTTCTGTTCATGCCATGGCAGCACAGGCCAATGTCAACGACTACCGAAGATCGGAATCTTCCCAGCTGCTGATGCATTGGGACGACCGTGGTTTGTACGAGGACCATGGGATGACCGTAAAGTGGTTGGTTCAATGAGAAGTTCTCGGATGTGCATCCCAGGCATCATATATAAGTGGTTTGTAACCCATGTCTACATCATTCTATATCATTCTATATCTATATATATATTATATTATATTGGAATATTCCATGATTCATAGAATGATGTAGACATGGGTTATTCCATATATATGTCATATGTCCCATATTATCCGGTGAAATGTCCCATAACTGGGGATATTCCATACATTTCACCGGAGAATATGGGACTGCGATCTCTGAGTATTGAGGAGGCTGTGTGTTCCGTCAGCGTTTTGGGCGAGTGCATCATGACCTTCCAACCCACTGGCCGTTCCAACTTCAGATCTTCTGAAGGCGAAAAGTGGTCACTGGATGCGGATGGATGAGTTATTTGAGTTGGGACTATCCAAAACAAATGAGACAATTATTTGAATGACTTTGAGAATTCAACATGTTTGTGGTTTATTTCAGGTCAATTGGATAATGCTAGGTATGTTCCTGTTCGTTCAGTGGTCTAGTTATAACCATGCCATCAGGCCATGGTCATGTTTTTGCTTACAAAGACCATTCGAAGCTGATACTTGAGTTCAGTTTTTTGTTCAAAGATGGGGTGTATGTATATAATTGTATATATATATATATGTGCCCTCCAAGAGCTTGCCATTGAAACAAGACGCATGATATAAAATCATTATAATCCTTTGATTCATTGATGGTAACCGTAACCAGCTTTCAAGCTGATATCCCCCGGTGGTTGTTCCTTACATCAAATATGTGTCTTGCTTAGATACCAAAACTACATAAAATATCTCCATGTGTGTGTGTTTCTTTCAATCTTGGTATTCTATGAATTCAATACGGGGTGAAAGCAAACTGAAATATAAAACTATTCATATCACCATAAAGTAGAAAACGTACTTAAATGTTAACAGTTAAATTCATATATCACCATGTGTCACCATCTATAAAACCTCGAAATCATCCATTAGCTAGGTATACCATGGTATATCAAAAGCTGGGATGATGGATTTTATAGCTGGGAATATCTATATGATTTCCGAATCTATCCTCGAAACCTCTAAAACCCTCCATTATCGCAGCCAGGCGACGCTGAAGCGGAAGGTGGTCGAGCGGTACGCCTGGTGGTGCCTGCGCGGTCGCTGCTGCTGCTGAAGGGCGCGGCCAGACGCTGGGATCATAGCCAGCATAGCAACAAGAAATGTGAAAGTCCAGGTCATGAATGAAGAAGTAAATAGAAAGAGAAAAGCATATGCATTGGGGAGAAAGGTGTGTGTATATATATATATATTATAGCGGTTCAGGGCGTGCATGAGTGCAATGCTTGTACAATTCGCCCGCGCCATAGAGACAAACCATCTCCCCATTCTCACAGCCTGGTCACCAGTATCAGGATATGAGTGGCAGCATGGCATTCCTGGCGCAGTTCCTTGGCATTGAGTCGATGTGGTCCCACTTGCAGACTTGGGCATGTAGGCAATATTAATATACCCGCATGGGTTGATACCTCATGCTGTAAGTGCAATTCTCATTGTCATGTGTATAAATGTGTATATATATATGATTCATTATGACTGTATACATTAATATGTTATGTACATATATATATATATATCTCTCTCTCTCTCTCCCTCTCTCTCTCTCTCAAATAGTGAACTAGTGCTCTTGGACAATGCCGGTAGGTGGTGGAGACCTATAGCCGCTCATAAACCCATGGCACTTTGGAACGGGGTACATGTTTGGCTGGAGAAGGCAGGTATTCCCACAGCTGGCTGTGTTGCGACTGTTGGCGGAACTGTTGGCGCCATCCCAACCCATCTCAGGGTCTTCAGAGATCGATCGATTTGGTGTGTTCAATTTCTTCCAATTTGGTGTGAAAAGAATATCACCGTTTGGTGACTAACTAGCGATTAGCAGTTACCCTCCTGTGATTGACCCTAACAAAGGCAATGGGACGTTTCATTGCCAGGTTTGTTTACTATATAAGTAGTTTAATTGATTGGATTACATATTTTAAGCCCCAAAAGGGATTTAAAAGTTGACGTTAAGGTGACGTTTACAGCCAAAACATGAGGTGCGCTAGAAACATATAAAAGCAACAACTTCAATCCTAATTTGCCTGAAAAACATTCGGTTTCCCAAGGAAAACCATCCACCTTGCCATTTGTTTCCATGTCGATTAGGACGATCTCCTCACGGAACGTCGTGTGGCCATCATCTTTCGTCGGGTCCGTGGGGTCCCTGTGCCCAGTAGCTCGGCTTTAAGGACAGTTGATGATGCAAGGGATCACGGAAATTAGTCAGTTTTAGTATGTTTTAGTCACATATGTCTTGACTCTTGACATGTCATTTTTTAAGCTGTCCATTTTTGGCTGATCGACATTTGTGGGACGAACGCGATTGTTTATTCGTGCAATTGTGGCATTAACGCAAGTCTATCAGTCTATCTATTTCACTTATAGTCTATGAGAGTCCGGGTTCTCCATGTTGCTACAAACTGCACACCAACATTACCAAATCAGTTTTCAGCCACCATGAACTCACTTCGGTGTATAAAGATCCCATTAAATGGGTGAAGGGACAATGTGCAGATAACCCCTTTTTTCCCGCCAGAAACCAGACTTTCCCCGCAAATTTTACATAACCTTGAGCAACACCAATAAGAGGCAGAAGAGACAGAAGAGACACAAGAGGTGTACCCTTAATGAGCCGTTAGCCTTTGCAGGCGCTGGTTTGAGCGAGGGCAAACCAAGTAGACCTGCCATTCCGCAGCGTGCCATGGACACTTGACGGCATGGAGTCTGACTTGGTACAAGGTGGTGCCCCCCAAGTTATAAGTTGGTTTATAATCCCATCAACTATAGATATAATATCTACCATAAGTCCTAGTTATTAGAGTTATAAACCAACTTAGCTATCTTGGGGGCACCACCTTGTAGGGACAACAGGGTGCAACTAGAAGACGAATTCATGAGGGTGCCAACTATAATGCAACAATCATTGAGATCATGTGAGATTCTGCGTAATTAAGATTGGTATCTCACCAACAAGTGGGACTTTGACCAACAACAACTAGGAAATTTCATGAAAATTCATCAATCAGGAGGTAAAAGTCCATGAGAACTTTCCAACATGTCCATACATTTCCCATATTTTCCAATACCTCCAGGTCTTCCAAGGTCAGAGCAGCCCAGGTGATCAGCACCAACTGGCCGGACCCCGACGTCTCTGCTGCGGGCCGCGTGACTTCTCTGCGCCTGCAGATGCTGCGCGGATGGCTGGGTGATGAGGTACTGGGGCTACCTTGTTTTCATGAGGATTCAACGCTATGCCAGCCATTTCAATAGGGAAAATCGATGGGAGTCAAAACGCCAGTAGCCTGGTGAAACCTAAATTAGTTGGTAAATACTAGGTTTTGACCCATCACCATATAGGACAATGAAAGAAGATCATGATAAACCATGGGATACCATTGGGCATTTGTTCAGACAAAGGCAAGGTATGCCAAGGTTATTATCCCTGGATCGAAGTGAGAGAAATAGGGTCAATCCACCTATCACTAGGGTTATGGTTTTCTCAAAACTGCTTACTAAGTGTGATTCAACCCCGAAATAAGGCTTTTGAATTTAGGGCTTATGAAAAACCATATTGCCAATCTACGATTGGGGTGGTCCCTTGGGGTGTTTGAATCCCCATGATAGTTTTGTGGCCTACGGTAACGGATAAGCGTGGAACTGGGATACTTCCTTGCGATATAATTCTTGGTGATATGATAAGGGGATATCATCAGGAGATTGTCTTGAGATAAACCTTGGTGAATGGTGTCTGCCAAAGGTCGGTTTTCATATATGTGTTCATTCTTTCCCATAGGAGATATCACTGATATTCACTGAACATTTCCAGCACTTGAACTTTGGTATTTAGGATTCACCGTGAGTTTTCAGACAAAATTCAATGTTCTGCATTATGGTTCTATCAGGTAAAGGGTGTAGCCATACCCTACGGACTCCGATGCTTATTAATTCCTCCGAGCTAAACACATGGCAATATCCACCCAGAATCCCTGGTTTAGTACTTCCCCTGTTCATGTTTTGTTTCTTTGGGGAGCTATCATGAGGTATCTGATATTGGAATATATATATGTAATTCCCCTTGGAATTTCCACTAAAGAATGGGACAACCCGGGTTGTCGCAAAAATCTTTTTTGTTGCCCAGGGTAGGCATTCTTTAGATGTGCCATTTCAGTAGTGCAAGGTGGACCACCGTTTTTGTCTAAAAAATGCTGGAGTCCATGTTAGCAGGGGAATTCCAACAGTGATTATATATAATATATGAATATATTGGGGAGTTTTGCTGATACCTATGATCCTCCATCATCCTCCAATCTGCAGGCTGCTCTGACCTTCGCCTCCCCCGCGCGACCTGGAAATTCACAGGGAAAGCTGCAGGGGGACCCAGGATTTGTGGCAAATTCGGGCGGGCAAAAAAAATGGAATGCCGCAAGGGAGGAATTTGGAATCCTATGTGTCCCATCAGATATTCAGTAGAATTGACCCACCTATGAGGGAAGAGTGAGCAGAGTAAAAGGTTGTAGCAAGGAAGCGGCTGTGGAGGACAGGTCACAAGATGTAGTAACGGGGCCCCTTGGTTACAGAGCCACGAGGTGGCGTGTATTTGTGAAAGAAACGGGGTCGAAACAAACATGCCGCCCCCACTACTTGGAGGCTTCAAAGGTCTGTTTTAATTTCATCACTATTGGAAACCATGATCCCCCCAAAGGGCCGAGGATTTGTTGATTGTAATTCCAGACCGGCACCTGTCGTTGACCCCGACAATGCTAAGCAATGAGAATTGCAGAGCCAATTTTGATGCTGGCAGTCTGCTGTTGAGGTCAGAAACCCACGATCTGACGTGTATTCGCAACTCGGCTCCGGCCACGGAGGTATGTGAACCCCTGCATTTGTGTCTGCAGGAGCGATCTGCTCATGGTACCGGGCATGGCCTGCCCCTAGTGAGAGGGGCACTTGCATACCCAATTTGCACAATCATGTGCAAGCCATATGATGCCAGACGTATTTCAGGCTGAGTCATTGCAATAGTAGCTTATAATGTTGTGTCAGTTAGACCCATTGGGTTAGTTAATGTTAGGATCTCATATCCCCAACAGAAAAGCAGATCAACATGGATTCCTGAAAAAAACTGGGAACCAAACAAAATGGTGGATTTTCCATGGGAAATCCACTGGTTTTTGGATGTTTTTGGGCACCGGTTACTGGTGAAACTTGTGAAACCTGGCTGCAGCATGGCAGGCATCAAGACCAACGACCACTCCTCGGTGCTGTCGGCCTTGGACGCTTGGAAGTCTTGCCCTCCTTAGAGCCAAAGTTGATTTATGACTTGGTTCACTATGGTTAACCAGGATCTTTGAAGTATTTACTGTAACTATTGTAACACCGAACTTTTGTTTTTTGAACAGAAACAACTTCAACCAACTTACAACTGGGGGGACCCAGCTTGAATAAATCAGCATTAACATGTATAGTTTTAAGGAATTAGTTCACTTAGTCAAACTATAGGTAATTCATGGAAGGATGCAAGAAAAAAGTAAGCATTCTCCTAAACAAAAAAAGTCATGGAAACTACTACACATATAATAGTTGTAAGGAAATACCCAAACTATGTTCAAACCAATAAACAAAGTGCAATTTCCTTCCATGAAGACGTGTAGTTGTAAGCAGGCAATCGTCTAAACATAGAATTCATACAGTAGCAACCCCTGGATAGACAAGTTAGAAGCCTAAAAAATATGCGGCAAATGTCATCTATGCCCTGGAAATCATTTGGATCTCTTTGGGAGCTGCTATGAAAGGAAAGGCAAATTGAATAAGATTGGGAACTTGGCAGATCCTGGTGCTCAGCTGAGCACCAAAAAGAATCCCAGGAGGCAGCCGGGAATCCCGAGCTGGTGATTTTCGATGGCTTCAACGCTGAAGAGAGGCGGAAAAACCCGTCCCCCATCCTGGGACGGGCATGGGGGCGGCGAGCAGCGAACGAAACACTGGGGCTCAAAGCAAACAGATTCGATGATGGAGATCATAAATCAGTGTTTAAATCATTTTAAATCAGTAAAAAATATAATTAGGATTGACGCATGATTTAATTTAGTGATTCTTTACTGGATCATATTGTGGTCAACACCAGGTCTCGGAGTCTTAGCGTTCTTTCTGACTGCCAAACTGATTGGCTCAGAATGTACTACACAGTCTATGCAGGAAACCAGTGGGCATAGGACCCAAGGCCAAATGAATCATCAATGATGCATTCCATACATTCCTTCCAAATCCATGTCAGTTTGAAGATTTGATGTCAATCTGTGTTTGTTTGAACTAGGGTACCTTAAAATTGATGGTTGATCATTGCTTTCCCTCCGCAGGTGAGGGCAATTGGATTGAGGACTCAATCCCCTTAAATTATCCGACAAAACCCAAAGTATCATAGTGTTGGTTATGTATCCCGTATCCCATCATAACTCCATATGGTTCCATATGGTCCATATCCCATTATCTCCCTATCACATGGTGAGTTTCCCCCATTGTTAGTTTTCACTCCAGCCGACTCCAGCCTGTCCGTTGCTGTCTGACGGTGTTTTCATCGTCGTGTTAACCGGAGGTTCGGCCACTATGTGCGTGAAGCACTGCCAAACAGCATGCGGGTCTTGGACATGCAAGACTTCCACGCCTTGCGCTTAGGCTTCTAGCGGAGCGCTTAAGGGTGTTCTTCTTTTTTGGTCGGAAGATGGAGATCATTGGATATCGTCACATCGTCAGCCAAGATGCAGAAAAAATATGAAAAAATAGCAGAATAATTATAGCAGAATCAGAATCCTATATATTAAAGTACTGGTAATCTATATATTCACTTTTCTATACATAAGACACGTTTTGCTATAGTACGAAGCTGTTTTTTCTTGTTTAGCTCTGACTAAAGGGTCTAAAGTTTAGACATTGCAGGTCCGGAATCCATCATGGGATTCAATGGATTCTGCGACGATGAGTCTATCACAGCACCTTTTTGAAACATGGTACCCTCTGGTAATTTAACATAGCTATGGAAAATCACCATTTTTAATGGGAAAATCCACTATAAATGGCCATTTTCAATAGCTATGTTAGTTTACCAGAGGGTACAATATATCCAAATGACGATTTTTTAGGGAAAATTTATGATATTCCACTTGGAATTGGGTACACCATGTTCAGACAAACCTATGGACCTATACCATGATTTTAAGCGACTTTTTGCACATGTTCTGCAGGGTCCTTGAAGGTCTTTTTGTAGCTGCAGAGGCGCATGGCCCGTCTCTCCACGGCAGCAGGTCGTGAACGTCTTATTGCTGCTGGCGCCGCTGACGTGGTATCTCGGTTCCGGGTGGATTGGGAGCCAACTTGGAGCCCTGGGAAACAATAGGGGGTAATGATGGCTATGGGAATCATGAAGGATATTTCATGAAGGATATTTCATAGCATCCCATTCCCCTCATATTAACATATATTAACTACCCAAACAACAGGGTCCCCAAAGTGAACGAGTCCGAAACATGAAAACCAGGCTGGGATGAAGCCTCTGCAGCCTCCATCTGAGTCCCAGCCACCTTTCAGACAGGGAAGTCACCTTTCTGAGACGATGAAAATTGTCGTTGATGGTCCGTAACTGAATTCCTGGTACCCTCTGGTAAACTAACGTAACTATGGATAATCACCATTTTTAATGGGTAAATCCACTATACATGGCCATTTTCAATAGCTATGTTAGTTTACCAGAGAGTAACATCTTGTAACATTTTAAGGTCTTGTAACTGGGATTTGGATGTAAGCCACTTGCGATGATTCTGCGATGATCACATATGCCATTTACCCATAAAATCAACTTTAGGCATTATGTCAAACCTATTTCCCTTGTCTAAGTCTAGATGTTGAGTATCCCCCTTCGAATTTCTAATCGAGAATCATGGTGACCCACATGTCTTCCGCATTTTTTTGGGGGGGGAAAACATGAAAAACCATGGAAAAACCATGAAACCTCACGCTCTTCCTATGCGGCCCAAGGCCACCTTCCTCCCATCAGCGGAGGACGAAGACCTGCAACGGGAGCTGGCGGCGCTGCAGCGCTGCGACGCGATTTTGGCGATCTCGCGGCACGAGGAACGGCTGCTGGTGGAGACATGGACTTCCGCGGTGGAAGGCGGCCTTGGGGGAAGGCATGAGGATGTTGACTGATTGGTGGTTTGGAAGATTTTTATACATTTTTTATTTTCCCAATATTGGGAATAATCATGAATAATCATCTCAACTGACTCATATTTTTCAGAAGGGGTAGGTCAACCACCAACCAGTTGATATTCATGGCTGTATTAATGGATAACGATATGTATAATTCAATTATTAAATTAAAAACAAAGTGAACATGCGGAGCTAAATGAAGAACATCTGCCGCCATTGGCAGTCAAACATGGCTAGCCGGGAAATCCCCAAACTAAATATATATATATATATATATATATATGGGAAAATCATTGAAGTAAATGGGGGGATTTTCAATTGCCATGTTTCATTGCCGGAGGTTAATGGCTTCATAATGGGTGATTAGTTAAATAGATGGCTAGAAATCAGTAGGCACTCAATTAATTACATCACTGCATATTATTGGGCATATTATATAATGGGTAACAAGATGGCTTTAATGGGTGTATAAAATCAATGGGTAATTGGGTAGTTGTATGAATGGGTAATAAGTAATAAATATCAATGATTGTAAACTGCATTAAACATGTGCAATCAGCGGATTTTGGGGTAGTGACCCTATTTCCAGACAAACCCAAATGATGGTTGGAATGTGATGTCTTATCAAAACAAGATGAATTTATAAACCTATTTCAGGAATATTAGATGTCAGATGTCTAGAATTATATTTTTGTTCGTTAGGTATACACTCACATTTTCAATCGGATCTCTATACGGATCTATATGATGGTATATGTATGTGTGTATATATTCATCAATTCATATCATCAATATATCATTCAATATCATCAATATATCATCAATAATCATCAATTATAGACTATATTATCATATTAAATATGTTATATATATATAACATACGCCCCCTACGCAGGTGCCTCGAAGCTCCCCAACTCCTGAGGTCTGTGCGGCGCCCTTCGGCTTTCGTGGAAACGCTGACGGCGGTGTTTCCCCGGGCTTTGGGGCCCGGCAAGGTGCCATGTTCATTGGGAGACGCGGCCTTATTTGGATCAGGCATTGGCAGGGAATAGCCTCTGGTAAACTAACAAAAAACCATGGAAAATCATGGAAAAACATCATTTTTGATGGGTATATCAACTATTTCGACTGGGCCACTTTCAATAGCAAACTGTTGAATTATCAGAGGGTATGTGAGGAAATTCTATGATTCTTTTTTTTCTCCACGGGAGTGAAGATAGGGTATCAGAGTGTATCAGTGTATCAACATGTAATTATCAACCTGATTTCAATGGTTAATGTTGTCTAGCCAATAGTGATATCTTGTCAATAGTAGAAACATTTTTCCGCAACTCCAATTTTTCTCCAATACTAAAAGTCAATTACGTAGCTCCATTTACTTTTAGTATTGCCAAAAGAGTCATGTTCAGACCTTGTCCAGAGGGCATGGCCAATAGTGGACCCAACATGGCAATAGTGGAAACTTTTTTCCCAACTCCATTTTTTTCTCCAATACTAAAAGTCAATTAGCTCCATTTACTTTTAGTATTGCCAAAAGAGTCAAGTAAAGCAAATCCTTTTCAAAGCAGCCTTCACTTTTGATTAGCAAAAACTTAGATTCCAGAAATCTGATCCAATTACCAAACAGCTGATTTCCTTTTTCACCCTTATTAAAAAAAGCAAGAAAACAGGTCCACAAAGGGTACCCCCTTTGCAAGCCCCAGAATAGCAATAACAAACCTGCACCAGGCATGGCAATAGTGGAAACTTTTTCCGCAACTCCAATTTTGTTGTCCTCCTTCTCCTTCTCCTTCTCCTTCTTCTCCTTCTTCTTCTCGTCCTCCTCCTCGTCCTCCTCCTTCGCCTCCACCACCTTTGCCCCCACTTCCATGATCCCAGCTATAAGGTTCCAAAAAATTACTATTGGAATGCTGACCCCCCCTAAATTTGTTAAAATAATGATTTTTATTTAGGGGGGATTTACTATAAGGCAGCCTACATTAGTGTACATCACCGACAGCGTGCAAGCTTGGATCATTGGCGTGCTTATTTGAATCGGGGACGCCCAAAACTATGCATGGTTTTCCTGAACAGGAAACACTTAACTTATTTGAATGTGTTTTGTTTGGCCCGAACCTGGAGAAACCATCATTTCAGAGGTAAGGCCTTAGGTCTTACCCTCTGGTAAACTAACATAGCTATTGAAAATTGCCATTTATAGTGGATTTTCCCATTAAAAATGGTGATTTTCCATAGTTATGTTAAATTACCAGAGGGTAGGTGAATCTGAAAAAATTGAAACATCTGAACAGATGTGAGTTAACTGTGTTCCTCCAGGTTATAGATTGGCACCCAGGAATTGGCGGCACCGGCCCAACCGCGACGCTGCCAAATGGCTGATCCAGGAAGTGTGGCCGCTGGTGCGGAAGGAAACTTGGGCCACGAAGGGTGGACCAGGAATTGACCCGGCCTGGTAATTTACTCTCTGGTAATTTAACATAGCTATTGAAAATGGCAATTTATAGTGGATTTACCCATGGAAATGGTGATTTTCCATAGTTATGTTAGTTTACTAGAGGGTAACAAAAAACTACGGAACATCACCATGCTATTAATGGGTAAATTTTAATGGGTACATCTCCACTATTTCGACTGGGCCATTTTTTTTAAAGGACTTTTGACTGGATTTCACCTTTCTATCATTTTTTGGGGTGCTATAGTTAATAATGTATAAATATAATGCTGTTACACTCTGAGAAGATGTGGAAACCCCAAAACCAGCCCAAATCAAGTTTCAAGAGCTGTTTGGAGCTGAAAGGATATTTATGAGATATACTATACTTGCTATACGTGAGTCAAATACATATCCTGAACTAATCTCAGCTACTTTAGGTCTAGCATGCCTGACCTTGCAGGATTGGCGGAGGAGGGGCCTCAACTAGTCATTCAGAATAATTGGTACTTCATACAGTAATGAACGTAGAGAATTCACAGAAAGCTTTTCTAAGTAGAAATTCGCGAGATGACATTTAGGCTGGTTTGTTAATCTGTCGGTCATTTGGTTAAAATTTGGTTTGCTTTATTGGGGTGCGTTTATTAATTTGATCAGAACCTGATATGGCCCATCGAAGGAGATCAAGTGGTTTTCTTCGGGAATTTCATCTCCCATAGACCCAAGACTTAACCAGATTTCTGTGGATGTACTTTATATTATACATATACAGTCATATACACAGATATACATGGGGAAAGGGATTGTATTGGTATCTTGCTTGGGGAGCTATGGACAATTGTGTTTTTTTTGACCTTAAGGGACCAAGGGATTCTTGGGCCTATTTGGGTGCAGTGTGGCTCCACCTTGTTGCAAACCATCCCCGAAAAAATCAACCAAATCAGTGGTATACAACGGTAAAGCGCAAGATTACGGATGGTTCAACAGCGGTTTTACCATGTTTTTACCACATTATAATGTCGTAAGCCATCAGATGTGGGGAATTGAGACATTAGAACAAAGGTAAAAAAAAAGTGCAGGGCTTATAGTTTACTTACATGAATGTGGACTTTACATAGGCTTGGTACCTCAAAGTGAAGTCCTTGAAATGGCCTTTCAGATTTGGTGAAGATTATATTATGCAAAAATCCCAATATTAATATAATGATCATGTCTATAGCATCAATTCCACTAAATCCATCTAAATCCCGTAAAATCACAACTCAACATTTTTTGCTGCTTAAACTCCATTAACTCGTGTAAGATGCCAATATATACGATCAAATTCATGTGCTGCTTAAATTTCATTAAATCACCCCCAAAATCAACTAAATCACCATTTTATTGAAGCTGAGGCCAAGGACATCAGCATTTTTTGCTGGTACAACTACCCAACTTCCATCAACTTCCCGCAAGTCCGCCCTGGAACACCGAAAAATGGCGCTGAGGATCTCCCTGATGCTTTGCTCAACGTCTACGGGGCCAACCAGACGCCAGAGGATGCGGCCCTCCATGACGTTTCCATCGGGGCTCAGGCCGATCCCAGTGGATTCATCCGAACGGTAACAACAGTTCAACAGGGTCTACCGGTCTACCCTCTGGTTATGGCTGACATAGCCATGGTGCCATGGTATAGATGGTCCATAGAAATAGATGGTTTACCTATGAAAATTGCATGGTGATTTTCCATGGCGAACTGTTAAATGACCAGAGTTTTTTTGACATTTTTTGCTGGTAAATTTAAGTATGTTCAATGTTTAACTGTTTAACCATATTTATAGGTTAAAGCCACAAATAGGATTTATACCACTCCATCCCCACAATAGGATTTATAGCTAGATTTACCATGATTTATATAACCATTTTGAACCATCAACAATAGGCTTTGATCAGATCCAATGAAGCAAAATAGAGGTTTCGAGCAAGATCCAGGAACCAAATGGGTGATTTTTCGGCTAGCCATGTTTGATTACCGCGGGATAATCAGAGTTCAACTATCTATGATGGGTTTTAAGAATGGTAAACCCTAGAAAAACAATTGTTTAAAAAGCACACATGAGTGGTTGTTGGTTTCAATGTTGATCATTGAACTATGGTTATGATTTATATAATTGTTGAATTATTCATGAGATTGTCGTTTGTGATTTTTTGGTTAAACCATTCTTCTCAAAGTCTGAAAAGAACCAATCCCCCATTCATATTAAGCATTATTCAACAATATTCAACAAAAACGCCGAAATGTGTGTAAATCCTAAAGGTGTGTGGGGGATAATGTTGGTAAAGTCCCAAGCCATTTTGGCTGAATTCTTGCATTTTTCTAGCTACCGGGAGGGTCTAGGTTGGCTTTTAAAACTGGGTGAGGAAACATTGAGTTTTGAATGAACACCTGGAAAGTCCATTGGTTCAGCTTTTGCTTGAACGGAATATCTTAGTTTGAGCATGCTTTGTCAAAAGTTGGAGATCAGCTGAAAGCACCGGTGATCAATTTTTGGGCACCAGCACCAGCAAGACGATTGAGGGTTGCTGGATCGGGAGGCTGCCCCATTAGTTCGCCAGGGTTCACGACGTCATGACGTTGAGGTTGTATCGTCATATCTCCATTATGCATGAGTCAGTGTTCGTTCGAATATTTATGATCCCCAAGGTTGACTCCATGTGTGAAATTTCAACATATCTCAGCCAAGATAACTAAGCTTCAGGGAACAGCTCAATGTATCTGAACGGTTCTTGGTTTCATAATGTTTCATATCCATTTGCGTTATTTTGCCCCAAGATTGCCATGATCCAATTTGTCCAAGGTGCAGGGTTACTGCCGTTCAGTGCCTGCTGCCATGCAGCGGCACCTGCTACTGGTGGCTCCGCTACGCTATGGCGCCGGCGTGAAGGGGAAGGCCCAGCGGCAGCTTGGGATTCCTCAGGTGATTTTCACATGAAAATCTCCATTCAGTGGGCTCTCCCAGGCACTGGGCTTGCCAAAAAAAACTGCATATTTGATTCGATTAACCAGAAAGAATTGTGATTCAGTACGATTTAGCTTGTTATAATATATGGGGGATTTATTCACGCAGGATTATTTTCACCACTTATGATCCGCAGAATGATACTGCAAGTAACTGGTCTCGGACATTGCGAAGTGGTTGTGTATAAGCTCAAACACAAGTTGGACCCATTGGGATATCGTATAATGAATTATTCATGAGAGCACCCGAACTGTTTGCTGCTTCAGTCTTGGCTTTGTCCAAGAATAATCAAACATGGGGATACGAGCCAAAATGGCACCTTAAATGGGGAAAACGATGACGAAACAATCAATTTTGGGGTACTTATGTTGCTGCTTTGTATCACCATACTCATTGTCTAAACTAAGCACAATACCGAGAGAGATGCGAGTTGCCCTTGTGGGCATGCCCATGCAGGTCGCAGAACATGAAAGTGAAAGTGTTGGTCAAAAATATATTTGTTCCCTGTTTGTTCATGAAATAATCCCATCAAATTGTTGGCGGCATGCTGCTTTTGACCACAAGAGATCCATTAACCACCTAAAAACCCAATTATATCACAGTGTACCAATAGTATTCGAAATTGTATTTGCCGACAACATATTCTGCTCAAAGCCGAATCACATGGTCGGGTTTATAACCCCCTATGTGCCTCCATCTCCTTTAACATCCCCATTCTGTACCTCTATATATATGTATTATATTATATATGTTCTTTAAATCATTATGCATGTTATATTCCCACTCAAATTATCATGTCATGCTGAGTGCGATTAATGTCCACATTGCATCCAAAACATAATTACCTATCATTTCCGCGTATATTCCCATAATAATATACCCATAATCATTCCTGTGCTCCTAGAAGGGGGTTGCCCCCCAGTTGTTTTATGAACCCCATTGACCAGTTCTATAGATCCATCAGTGAACCTACTTATTTTAAGCAACTCGGCTAACTTACCCTGGGTACTGCACGTGTATCCAAATTCAGTGAAAAATCCCAATCCCATCATAGCAATCCCATCATGATCACTAAAACAAACATGCAACCGCTACATCCTTGAAGCACTCTTTGGTATTCACATGGCTATGGTGGAAAATCCACAATTTATAGTTGATTTTCCAAAAAAAAAAAAGCCATATATTTACAGGATGTTCCACGATTTTTCCATAGAAACCTTACATCCCATTTAATGGTTCATCAAATATGGGTTACCCTTTTTTGGGGTTTGCCCCCAAAATGGCTAGAATTTCCCACAGCATCCCGATGAGAAGCGGCTACCGTTCAGACGCCGCCGCCACAGGATGGTGCCCCCCAGTTATGTTTGTTGGTTTAGATTCGCCCCAGTAAGTATAGTTATAAGTACCATAAACATCCATACTCATAAGTTGGTTTATAAGCCCATTAACTATAGTTATAAGTACCATAAACCATAGTTATTGGAGTTATAAACCCAACTGAACGCTATCGACTGGGGGCACCACCTTGCAGGTTCTTGAGGCATTGCAGCATGGCCTCGTGGTGGTCACCACAGCTGTGGGCATCGAAGGCATCGCCTCAGCGGAGAGCTTCCCGGGCTACGTGGCGACGGCGCAGGTGGGAGATGGGATGACGTTTTTTTCAAACATGAAAACCATAGGAAAAACATAGGTTAACAATGGTTAATAATGGTTAATGATGGTTAAAACCAGCCACAGTGATGTTGTATGATCATCTCATGCAAGGTGGTGCCCCCAAGCAAGATAGCTAAGTTGGTGAACATAACTCTAATTTCACGTTTGGACTTATGGTAGATATATCGAACTAGTTAATGGGATTATAAACCAACAAACATAACTTGAGGGGCACCACCTTGCATGAAACATCTCCTGGTTGGTGGTTTGGAACCATGGAATTTTATGACTTTCCATTCACTTGGGAATGGAATGTCATCATCCCAACTGACGAACTCCATCGTTTTTCAGAGGGATTGAAACCACCAACCAGTCATCAATAGAGGTGTAAAGAATAGACCATTTCACAGTTCAATACTGCTGGGATGGGATCAATCTTCTCATCAATAGGATTCAAAATAAGATCTAAAGGGGTAAGACTTTATTAGATCATTTCAGTATTAAAACTGTCTTAAAACCGTAGGCTTCGATACTGAAATGGTCATCCATGACTTGGAAAGCTCGATATGATGGGGCCACCTGTGGGGACACCTGTAGGGACACCTGTAGAATCCCCCAAAAAAGATACCCTCTGGTAAACTGACATAACTATGGAAAATGGTCATTTATAGTGGATTTTCCCATTAAAAATTGTGATTTTCCATAGCTATGTTAAATTACCAGAGGGTAAGACAGTCCAATCCCGCTTAAAGATGTTGATAAATGACTTTTCTATCTTTTTGTGATCAGTTGATTTGATAAAAATATCCACATGGGTTAAAAACCATGTGGTAGACTGGTAGACCCAAAACTAATTATCAACCATCCTTCATGAATTGCCAGAACGGGATTGAAATGGTTTGTATAACCCATCCACATGTGGAGGTTTATTTGTTGTTCAATCAATTGCAACAAGGAAAGACACGTATTTTCAGGTCGCCATTGTCAACTAAGTTGTCCCCCTGACACACTGCCCTTCCGAGTTCGTGACTAGGCTGATGCTAGATATCTGGAAACATATATATATCACTGTCATTGGTTAGGCTCGCAAGCTGGTTACGATAGAGACGAGAAAAATTGCCAAAGGTGATTGTTGCAGCATTGAAACAATATGTTCCTATCCCTATTTGGGAACCTTTTGTCTTGGAAGGGGATGGATGGCCGAACCACCAAGATCCGGTGTATCGGATGTTGTTTTGAAAGGTGTTGGATTGTATCCCTCTTGTATATACACTGGTCACTGGTCCCCATTTTTTGTCAAATGAGGATAGTCTTTAGATACTCTGCATGTTCTCCATCTATTGTCAATGATGATCAATGATGTCTCCATATTCTGCTTCCTATGACAGGAAAGCACCAATATCCCCATACCATCAGGAAGATGTTGGATAACATTCCCGCTTATTACTCCGGTCTGTACCGTTTACAACCCCAGCCAGACGCTTTTCCCTCTGCAGGATCCAGCGGAATTCGCGAGTGTGGTGGTTCAGGCATTGCAAGACCAGCAACGTTGGGAGGCTGGAGAGTGGTTCTTGTGGCTGATCAGATGCTGATTCCTTGCCCATTCTTGCCCTAGCAACCACACAGGTGCCTTCAAAGCGTTTGATTGAAACCCTCTTCGAAACTCGGATTTGTATGTTAAATTTTAGATAATCTCGTCTGCATAGTTCTAAAAACAGCACCCAATAGAAATCCGGTGAATGGATATTAAGGGGATGGGACTACTTGATGACATGGTTGTGAACCCGTGCTGGGATGTAGGTCCAACAGCACCCAAGGGTGTAGAGCTGAGATCTTTGACTTTGCATCCGCATGTTTTTTTTGGTTTAATGTATGTATATATATATATATTTTTAAATATATAAATAAATAAATAGATAAATAAATAAATATATATATATTAAAAAAAAACAAGTCCTATGCCAAACCCACGACAAGAATCCATTCCCAGTTGGAAAACATGAGGGTTGCTGCACATCTTCAATCAATTGGTTTCATGATCCCCTGGTTTTCTAGAGTGATCCCCTTCGGTCGTTTATGCCGTGGCATGGTTTAGAATTGAAGATCGTTGTGCCGGGATGTCCGCGACAGAATGAGCATTTTGACCTACCCTTTTTAAATTGGAGGGTGGGTCCAACGCTCTTGACCTCAGTGGATGTATTTGACATGTACACCAATTATTTGAGAGATGTAAATCAGCAACGGTGAGGGTGAATATGGGTGAATGCCAGAACTGGAAAGAAACTATGGGATACTATGGGTTATTATTCATGATCCTGTTTACAGATGCTTTTTGTGGATTTGTTGTGAGCTGCATAGTGGAATCAATGCCCAATCAGTTTTGGAACTGCCTGAATTTGGACCCCACACTTTTCGGCGAATCTTGATTTGTTTAATTCTTTTCCAGGAATGGGCACATCCTGTCCAGCTCAAACCTTAGCTAGCAGGGCTAAGGTTGCCCCTCGTGTATCCCTTGTTTTCCTATCTTTTTTTTTCGTTTTTATTGCACGTTGGAATTTCTCCTGGTTGACATACGCACAGGTGACGCAGAAAGAAGGCTTTTCATTGATGGCCAGAGACTTTGATGAGTCCCTCGGTGGGTGGATCCCTTTACGGAAAGAAATATCGCCCTGGAAAGTTGATGACCCACATTGACCCTCATTGGACTTCCATTTCCAGGTTTGCCGGGCTGACCTTGTGTTTCTCAGCCACTTAGGATAGAAGTTCGCAGAAAGCTAAGGCGCACTGAAGTTTGACCGCTCAAAGTCAGAGAAGGGGCCCACTTTCCCGTTGGATGTACAGTTTGGTTGCGATATTCAATGTTGCAGTGCCTCTGAGAATGGTCACATCTTCACTTTTTACCTTTTCAGAGACAAGGATTTCAGATGATTTTAGACCAGAATCCACAACCAAATCCCAGCTTCGCGGCTTACACTTTTTCTCTGGGTGTAGCTAAGTGCCATGGCTGCCATGGTTCATGACGGTTCATGATGGTTTGGGTAAAGGCTTGCCCGTGGTGAATGGGGGAGCCAGGGAATTTCTGCAAGCACGCTGGAGCAATTTGCTGGAAGACCGCAAACGTCCCTGGCCTGAAGCATGCAAAGTGATCAGTCAAGCATCAGGTTGGGCGGTTAGACTATTTTGACCATTTCCATACCATTCCAGCCATCTATTTTGTTTGAACGGCAGTTATGGAGCAGCCTGCCAGTATGGGACATGCAACTATACTTGGTGGTTCACCCCAGTTAGAAAGTGGTAAACACTAGCCATAGCAAACTGGACAGCCTACTTACCTACTTACCCTATGTATCCCTACGTATGATTGGGGGATATAACCAGGCATGAACGGTCATAGCCCTTAGTGGGGACGGAATCAACATAGGCCAGGCCGTTCAAAATGACCCCAGGTGTGGCTTGAGGTCACGTAGAATACTTACCTCATCTTACCTCAGTTACTAAAAGACGAACACTAGAACTGGTTGGTGGTTTGGAACAGAACATGGCTTTTATTTTTTCCCATGATATTGGGAATGTCATCATCCCAACTGACTTTAACTCCATCATTTTTCAGAGGGGTGGCTCAACCACCAACCAGAGAAGCATGGTTTTCATCATTATTAGCCATTGTTAAGCCACTATAATCCACTATAATCCACTATATAACCATTATAATCCACTATAATCACCATTTTTCTCATCGGGCTTCAACCAAGCATCGAAAACGGTCTCGCTTGTTGTGGTCACCTGACTGGGGTTGAATCCCCAGTCGATCCAGCGACGGCCGTGCCTCAGGTGACTACGTGGGGCAGATGTTGTGGCACAGTTCTTTGAGATCCACCGAACTGATGGTCCCTGGGCAGCAGAATGGAGACCCCCAGCTGGCAATGTCCCATGGATCAACCATGAGATTTTGAGAAAAGGGGGCCACTAAGGGGGCCGCCCGGCATTAGACAAAGCTATGAAAACTATATGTAGGTCATGCTGAATTCAGCCAAAACGCAGTTAGTCTAACAGCAAAAAAGATTTAATTATACACTTTTCCCAGATTGTGTTTTGGGTACAAGATAGCGACCTAACAAGGATGATTAGTAGGATTGTGAAGGAAATCACCCCACAAGACTGTTTTTTTTTAAAGTGTTTTTCATGATTTGGTATTGGTACCATTTGCCCGGATGACATGGTTTTGCCTTTGCTGTCTTGCTCATTGGTTTCAAAGAGGGGTTGCAAAACAAAGCACCACACAGGAACCGGTGTGCTCGGGTGGCCGAAAGTAACTTCCCGGAAACCAAGCCGAGTATATATTGGATTCGCATTGTGGGTAGCCATGTCGGCCACCTCCAATGCCGGTTGTTTGCCAAAAAACGGTGAAACTATGCGCAACAGATTCCCTTTAGACACCTCCATGTCAGATAGCTGTTTGTGAATTGGAGATGTATCCAAAAGCCCAGTCAATGGTATTTCAACCAACATATGTGGTGGAAGATTTACCACCTATAAAGTAGCTATGGAAATCCACCATTAAGAAATGGGTAAATCACTTCCAAACGGGTCATTCGGAACACAGCGATGGTGTGTAGGGGGGCGAGGCCAAATACTTGGCGGCCAAAGAGGACAGCCGCAAGTGGAAAGCGCTGAGCCAGCGAGGCCATAGAAAGGGGGATGCATCCAGCAATGTGGCCTTTTTGCTTTTGGATAATGTGCATTTTAGGGAATCAAATGCTGATGGAGCAAAATGATACCGGGGATGTCCGGGGATTCGACGAAGGTCAGCTTATAGTCCCCAATTCTCAACTTTTTTTGGGTGCCTATACATAATATATATACTATGGGGGTACATGGTACGGGAGTCCCTTTGGCATCACTTTTCAAGCCCCCAGTTTTGGGCCCCCACCGGCCATGTTTTGTCACACTATCTTCCAGTTGTGCAGTTTGAGAAAATTGGCATGGAAGCTGTCCAGACGGCATGGCTTCTGCAGCTAGCACGGCTCACAGCTCGTCGCAGAAAACACAATTTGACTATATCTATAGCCATGTCGTCTGCCGCCGCTGGTATGGAAAGGGATGCTGCGGAAGGTGCTGCTGTAGCCCATGTGCCCGGGATGGATGACCGTATAGCTGCTTTGAAAGCTGAAAGGCAGGCCTTGAAACGCCAGCTGCAGCAAACCAGTCGAGAAGTCAAGGCCCAGGCTGGTTCAATTTCATCCTTGTGTGCCATGTTTGTGTTGGTGAAGCTGTATTGACATTCCATCGTGCCACTTGCACCTTCATCTTTCCCATCTCAGGTTTTTTTTGGTGAAGCTGCATTGCACCTGCATCGCACCACTTGTACTTTCAATCTTTTTGTTTCAGCTCTGCGCCGGGAGAAAAAACGACGCAGAGTCCTGAAATCGGCGGGCAAACTGAGCACCCAAGACCTCTCGTGGCTCCTGGCCTTCAAAATGACCCGTCAGCAGTAGCAGCTTCTTCAAAACTATATGTCTCACTGAAGCACTTGTGACTGCTGTCTCCCGAGGAGTCAGCAGCAGCTTCCTCAAAACTATATGTCTCACTGAAGCACTTGAGACTGCTGTCTCTAAAGGAGTCAGACAGGAATGTGGTGAAGTCACACGCGGCAGGTTACCTAACGACTGCTGTCTCCCAAGGCATCAAAAACACGTTTTTGCGTGCTTTGGCACCTGTTTTTGCTGTGGCCCCAAAAAACTACTAAGGATACTTCCAACCATTTTCGCAGACTTTGCATTGGCACGGCAGAGTCACAGCTCATGCACGCATGAAAAACTACTAACCCGTGAAATTGAAATCACAATGGCTTGGACGCAAAACTACTAAGGAATTCTGCCAATTGAAAAGAAATAGAAGAAAGTGTTTCCTTTTTTGTCCATTGAACAATTCCTTAGTAGTTTTGCCACCGAGCCAATACAAAGTTTGAAATTCCCCTTAGTAGTTTTCACACAGAAGCATAGTAGTTTTGCGGCAGAGCCAATATAAAGTTGTGACATCGTGCTTAGTAGTTTCACACCGAAGCATGCTAGTGTTGCAGTGGAGCCAATGCAAAGATTGACATCGCCAACGGCCAGTGAAGCATTTCATCTTGCAGCTGTGATGTGCCACCTGCCGTGACGGCACATGTGTTTCTTCCTAATTCAAAGGGCCTTTCCGGCCACATGTTGGCCCCCCCCCCCGCACCCCCCGGAATCAAGGTTGACGAAAATGTCTTGCTGTGAAGACCTGACGCTTTGGAAGTTGGCTGCTGCAGTGATTAACACCAGGAAACAACATTGATCCTGGGGGTGCGGGGGGGGAGCCGCTGCTGTGACCCTATACGTGGGGCCTCGTGCTGTGTGTGCAAAAGGTCTGAATTTGGGGTCGCTAACGGACGCTGATTTCAGCCCTCTTCATTGAGGGCCCTCCTTGTGACAACACAAACCTGCATGATGTGGAGAGATAACCAGCAGTGTTTTTCCATAACAGTGTCATAACACAAACCCACATGATTGGACGGCTCATCATCATTGTTCGGTCTTGCCTGCTCCTCACAGGTCGCCTCTCCTCG